TAGCTGATCCCTTTTATCGTGACACTAAACAATTAGAACCAAGGGTAAGAAAAACATATTGAAAGGCTTATAATTATAGTTCAAATACGATTAAAAAAATAAATTTTAGCACCATGAGTCAATGGACGATGTTTTGGTCATACCTGAAAATGAATACTGCCAATCAGAGCATATGACGATATTTGTTAGTATAATATACGCTTATAAAGGCCTTCTATTGGTATGGGTTATTTTTACCGTGATTTCTTCAATCAGATATGAAAATATTTATTTTATTGTTTTTAAGGTATTTGGTGCCTTCCTAGCTTGGGAGACACGTCATGTTTCCATTCCGGCCTTGAATGACTCGAAACATATTGGATTTTCCGTTTACAATGTCTTCATAACATGCATTGCCGGTGCCGCTATTTCGTTGGTGCTCTCTGATCGCAAGGATTTAGTTTTTGTCTTACTCTCATTTTTTATAATTTTTTGTACGACAGCAACATTATGTTTGGTGTTCGTACCGAAAGTAAGACTGGTAGTAAGGAAGTTTTGTAGTTTTTGTAGCTGTATTTTTAAATTAAACTTAAGATTTACTGTTATCGTAACTGTGGACAAAATTAAATGTGCCATTGGCATGTGTATATGAGGAGCATCTAATCACGTCACACTTAAATTTTCCATATTTAAAAAAAAAAAAACTTTTATAAAAAATGTTATAAGTTCTTTACAAGTATAATATAATATTTTGATTAGATACTCCTCAACTGTGCTATACACTTTATTGAACACAATGATTTAAACTTTCCGCATATATTTACATCGCGCTCGTTTCTAAAAAACGAAGTCAAGTCTGTAGATAAAAAAAATTAATTTTTTAATATTAACAAATTTAAATTACAAAAAAAAAGAGCGTAAAAATGTTAGCTTACTAACCAAATTCGAGCTTTTATCCCAAATTTATTACGGGACTCCCCGATATCATATTTAAGACTTGACTATGGTGTAAATATAGATATAATACATAAGTAAGATAAATTTAGAATATTTTGTGTATGTCACGTTTGTCCAAAATCATTTACGAGTGTATATATGTGTCTGTTTGAGTTCTTATTTGCTTTACACTTAGTTCTTATTTAGCTTACTCGTAATCCTATCGCTTTCGATCTTTTGCATTGGTGATTCTTATTTGCTTAGTTACAACAATTTCAAAACTTTCAACTCTATATCATATACTAGAAATTCACCTATTGTGTATATCTATGTTATATTACCGATAAAATTTGGAATACTTAAAAGTGTTTAATTTTTTTCTGCTTGACTTAAAGCTAGTTGAACTGAAACGCAACCCACAAGGTGTCGTTGATAAGCGCGTACGCGCCACCTTGCGTCCAATGTCGAAAAATCGACGCGATTCATCCGTCTGTGAATTGGAGCAACGTCTACGTGATGTGAAAAATACGAATTGCCGTTTTCGCAAAATTCTTATGGAGAAAGAAAATGAACTGCAAGCTCTTATCAGAAAACTTGGACCTGAGGCTCGCAAGTGGATTGATGGCGTCACATGTACTGGCGGTATTGGCGGGGACTCTGAACCAATACTCAACGATACAGCTAGATTGTCTGCACCGCCTGTACGACGAGAAATGCCGAGCACAACAGGTGTTTATTGAAATTAATTTAATAAATAGGTTCGGTAGTTTAAAGATTTAACTTTAGCTTACTTACTCTTAGTAACAATATTTAATTAAAAAAAAGTTATGTTTTCAATCGAATTTTAACCACTTTTATTTCTATGTTTCTAGAAGTAACGGAACTTACTTCAGTTGACAGCGTAACTTCTACACACGTGGAAATGGACAGCTCCATGGTATCGGTACAGTCAACGACAATCGCTCCATCCTTGCCACCGTAGGTTTTCTTACACACCCATATACCCATACAGTTTATTATATATGCATATTATATGTATCTGATATCAATATTTTAGTAAAAAGAAGTCCATGAAGTCGTTAACTCAAATCCAAGATGGTATGGTGCAATCCACCGGCTTAGTTACTGGATCGAGTTCACTTCAAAAACAGACTCAAATGCAATCAATGCAACCCATACAACAGCAATTACAGCAGCAACTACAACAACAACAACCACCATTACAAGCTGTAAAGCATGATGATCTCGCTTATCGGAGACCGGTGGAGAAACGAAACTCTGTTTCAGCACAAACCGATCCAATACCGGGTATGAAAAAGCAAGAATGCAACAATATCAAAAGAAGCGAAGATTCACAACTGCGGGAGCGTCGGCAATCAGTGGCGTCCAGGGTAAGGAAAAATTTGACTTGCTGATGCCAATTAGATTCTCTCAAATAATTCCTTCATTTTAGCATTATGACAGTGGAAGTCAGACTCCAACCGCCTATCCAAAGAACGCACATAATCACAGGAATTCCGCTACAAACATTTCTAATTCCAATAATGATCTAAACGGTTCTTGCCCCCATGCTCCATATACGAAAAGCAATAATATTATAAAAAGTGAGTGAAATAACAATTTTATAAATTAGTAGATTTTGAGCTGAGTTTCTTTTGAAGCACCCACAACATCGGATAGCCGCCGTGGAACCAACGCCATGAAATCCAATTTTGTAGTCTCCCAAAGCGACCTATGGGACACCCATACACTTTCGCATGCCAAACAACATTCGCGCCAGTCACCGCGCAACTATGCTAGTCCACAACGTTGCTCAGAACACAGTCATATCATTCCATATAACCAGACAACGTCACCGATACAACGTTCAGTCTCGGAAAAGAATCGTAATAAACATCGTCATAAGCCACAGAAAGGAACGGTATGCCAAAGCGAGACCGACAGCGAACGTGAACGTGAGCCAACGCCACCAGCTACGCAGTGCATTACACAGCGCAAACTCAACAAGATGAGTAGTATACAACATGCTGCACATCATCATTCCTCCCCAAATGTAGCACCTGATAAGCAACGTAAGCATCGAAATAAAATCGAATCGTCAATTTATGGTGCTAGTTCTGAGACAGAGTTACTAGATGGAGAAACGGCAATCTTGCCCATATTCCGAAAATTGCTCACTGAAAAGAGCCCTAACTATCGTGGTCGAAATGTTGTGGGTCAAAGTTGTCCGAACATATCCATCAAATGCGATATTGTGGAGTATCTCTAGAACAAGAGGAAATCCATCAAACTGAAATTTGGTTTATTTTATGTGCGAGCTCTGTAAGTTGATTTAAATACAATTTAACTCGGCCTATACCAGAGCAGATAAAAGTTAGACTAATAACTATGTTTTTAAAACTAAAGAATTCTTCGCATAGAATTACTCACATATAATATGGAATTAATTAAAAATGATTAAAAATAAAAACGTATTTCAATGAAGAACAAAAATTATGCTTAACTATTATTATTTTTTATTCGATTTTTTCGGGTTTTCTAGACAGTAACTAAGTTGGCTTCTGCGGCTCACTTGTCTCTCTAAAACATACACCACTTGTATTTTTTTTATGTTGTTGTCAAGCGGGCCTTTTCGTAGGGGCTAGAAATACAGACTATTACAATGCAAGACCAAGCTTCAATTCATACTCTGATTAGCATTCATACTCGTATTGTCATCTCTGTGTAGGTGACTGTTAAAACTCTAGAATGAACAAATCAGAACCGTAATTTTGGAAAAGACCACTAATTTTGAAGAATCCGGAACAGTTTTAAACCTCTGAAACGGTTTCCATCTGTTGAATGGAACTTGATCCAGGTTTAAAATTCACTTAAAATGGTTTTATGAAAATAATCAGTTTGAACTAAAAAGTTATATATTATATGTGGAAAACGTTAAAAACCCCTTAGAGGTCCGATAACTACGACGAGTTCTTGGAAAAATCGCTCTTTAGCTCGATACACTAGATCCAGTGAAATTCTATCCAGCGAGCGCTTTGACAAGTTTGCAAATAAAATAATACGCACGAAACCAAATCTGGAGAATACGATAGATGGATGGCTGTTCGTACCCTAATTCGACTAATTTTGCCAGTTCAATTGCGGAGGCGTGAACTGGTGTGTTGTAATATTTGTAATAGAGGAAGAGCTGCCTTTCCTTCCCCTATTGCATATTTTGAGTACAGTGACAGTAGTCACCATCTATCTCACAAACCTTCAATCGGCTGTCAACCAACATCTTTTTCCATTTTTCTAAAATCCGCGAACACGGGCGCTGCCATACGAGCTGTCTATGAGAATGTACTAATCTAGCGTTTAAATTTATCTTGGAAAATTAGGTACTTATCGTATCGCCCTTGTATTTTATGGTATTAATATGTGTTACTTATTTCAAATGAATTTAACCAAAAAGTGATACAATTTGTTAGTAAATCTTAGCAGGAACATACTAAATTTATTGTTTTAATTCATTTGTGGCAATATTTTTACTTCTATACCTAAACTAATTTTGAATAACGGAACCAATATCATAGCTTTACTTTGCATCGGCTTCATTCTTTAATTCATTTTTTTTCTAGAAAAACGTATATATTGTCATGCAAAATAATAACGAATCGTTGTTTATTATAATAAATATTATTTTTATTAAAAACTTCATATTACATATATATATATGTATATATATTTATACATAACTACATACATTTCGGAATAAATTCAATTTATTTTCATTCAAACTATTGTAATTACGGTTTATTAAATTATCTTTTTATCATATCACAGTTATCTATACGTCTATTATTATTTGTTTCTTTTGACAGTGGAAGTACATTGAACTTAAACTCTGCATTATATATGTTTATGTTTTAGCTTTCTATAATCGAATATTTATATTATTGTAAATTAATTAAATATACTACATATTGACGTTTGCACCTTTTGTTCACAACATTCCGTAGTCTTGATTATATTATATAATATATTTTGTGTCATTAACATCAAAACAATTTGTTGTACATATGAGTTCATTTACATTTAGGAATGTATTATAGTGTATAATTGTGGATTAACGAAATAATTTAATCCAACATTAGATTTATTTTAAATTATTCCTAATTAACGCTACACACATTGGACATATAAAACGCTTATACCAACTAACATATAAAGAACTATATATCATATATGTTATATCATTTAATTTCTCACACATTTGCACCTAAAATTACGTTTCATGAAGTATCTATAATATTATATGCATTAACATGGATGAATATACATATACATGTTACAATTACAATTTACTGTAAACTAAAAATTAAATTGTGTACATCAATTAGTGAAACAAATTACTATAAATAAAATCGCGACAGAAAATTTCTTAGGAACTAAAAATTTGTAAAACTAAGTACTTGTATCTAAATTTATTTTTAATGATAAAGCAACTATGCCAAACGTCAACCTAACGATTTCGTGTATGTATTGGACACGCTGCCCATACACTTCGGCAGACAATCTGTTACGAGTATAAAAGTATATTATAAATTTTATAAGGAAAGAGTTAATATACAAATACATATGTATACGCTTCGAACGCTGGGATAGCAGTCGAATGCAAATATAAATTGCTTGTCTGTTATGTATTTTTATTAATAATTTTCATATAAAACAAAGTTTAAAAATCTTGATTTCTCATTCATTTTTAAACATTCTGTAGCGTACTGCTTCGTGATTGGGGCTTGTATGAATCTGTTGAACGACTGCTAAACGATGTGTAAATAATAAGGAACTCGATAGAATAAAATTGTATTTTTTCTGGTTATGATTGCTAACGGAAGACTAACTACATGCATTTGTATTCTTAATTAGGGCTTACGTAATACGTTTGCAACGCAATCTGCAATTTAATACTTAAATAATACTACAAGATAATATAGGTAATTTAACTCGGGTTGCCTAGTACGAGTGTCCGAACATATAAACCACGTAATCGTGTTTGAGTTTAGAGCCATTCATCGTGGGAGGTTTGGAGATTATATGTAATCTTTAATTTTTAGTCTACATATTGAATTTTTTAATACGGCTTACAATTATTTAACGAATCTGTACTGATTCAAATATGCAAGTTAGCATATAATTGATAGTAAACAATCAATTATGTATTATGTTATACTTTAGTACCCAAAAATATTTACTTATATGTAAGTACATATGCAATTTGTGCTTTCAGTTGCATAACAATGATAAGATCTATTTAATATAAACACTAATATTAGTAAATATGTATGCATATGATCGTATACAGTTTACCAAAAATAGTTGCATAGGTATCTTAGTTTGTAACATGTAACTCAGGACTTTCAATAGACGGACTCTTGTGATCGTTGACGGTAGAAAAATTGGCGCTGATAATATCGTGTTTATTATTGAATGAATGTTCGAAATCAACACTCAGTGGATGAGAGCTTTCTGTACCAGAAATAGTTTTAATTAACGAACTCGATGTGAGCGACTCAAGTTCATGGGTTTCTGAGTTTATAAGTTCGCCGACAGCGGAACTTGATGGGGTTAATAACTGTTCGCTCGCAATTACCTGACTTTGTTTTCTGAAATTGAATTTTATTAATAATCAGCAGGTTAATTTTTAAATTAGGTCAGCTCTTACCTTTCATAGTACTTATTGCCAGTAGTTGATGATCCTTTATTCATTAACGGGTAACTGAATTGCATGAAACCGTATTGCGGACCAGCCGTTTTTAGTAGGCTCATAAGAAAAAATGTGCCATATAACCAGCTGACAGCCATTACAATAACCAAAAATAAACCAATCTGTATATATGGCAGTACGTTGGACGCAAGCATTAAAGCACCAGCAGCACCTGTAGTGATTGCTGCCATTGACGTTGGCCCCACAATCCGCGATAAGGTAAATTGGCTAGCGGCCAGACGCTCTTTCGTCGGCGACATGCGATAATGTATACCGTAGTGTAAGCTGAAGTCGACTGCCAATCCAATGGCAGTGCTCACAGCTATACTTTCAAGCACATTTAATTTCCAACCAAGTAAAATTAGTATTGACACCGTTGTAAAAATTGTAAGTAAAACTGTAATCACCGCATACAACGATACTAAAACATTCAAAGTAACCAAAAGTAAAACCAAGAGCGAAGCACTCATAGCAACTGAAATCGCAACTAACGTATCGTGACTAAGTGTACTTTGAGTGTCAAAGAACTTAAGTTCACTGGTAAACCAACCGCCCTGCATTTCCGGCGGTGCTTCCCGCAACTCGTTCGCAAGCCACAGCTCCACTGATTGTACAAATTTTTTGACATCAGTGTAGGCCGTTGTGTAGGCGACATTCGATTCAAACTCAAGCACCAAAGCTTTCACTTGTGGTGGTGCCAGTGTAACATGTTGCGAATTATTACTATTTGAAACTTCATTATGAGTGTATAGTGAATTGCTTTGCTTGTCGGCTAGGAATCTCGGCCCCGCGACACCAGGAGTGTAGTATTCGCGCGGAGTGGCGTATAGTGAGGACATACTTTGTGGCAGGCAAATATCGAAGACGTGTGGCTCAAAAGGAAACTTTGATACGTCACAACAAGGTGTGCGATCCGTATTGTCCATACCATCTATACACCTGGAAATATATTATATTTTCACATAAAATAAAATACAACATATATTAAAATAATTGTTATTTTTATAAATAAATGCCAATGTTATCATACTATTTTACTCACATGCGATCCATTAGGGATATAAAATTTTCAATGAAGCAATTCGGCAATAATAAACCAAAGGTAATTTCGTAAAATGGCTGTTTTCTTATTTTTTTACAGAAATCTAGCAACCAAACTTGAGCAGCCTTTGTGGATATATTAAAATTATTGTCATAATATAAGTTTCCATGTGAAAAGGGATCAGTGTAGTCGCCATCATCGACTGGCTGTATACCCCAAACGAAGCGCATTGGTAATTTAAAATTTTCATAAGTCTGAAAAAAGTTTGGTTTACTAAACATCACTAGTATCAAATAATAATTACTTACCGACATCGACTTCTCAAACCAAAACTCATTTTTCATTTTACTATTATATATTTCGAACGGATGGCTGCTTGAGAATAATTGAAAATGGTCGCTATCCGGCAACTGCAACCCAGGCGCATACAATACAATAACTGTGCTGCATAATCCTATCGCACCTATAAAAATCAATTACAAATTGTTTAACTGCACATACTTTCTAAAACATATATGTGCTTATATAGAATATATTATCATTATATAAAAAAATTTAACTTTTTTAGCTATGATAATTATAAATCTAATAGTGTACTAGTAGAACCATACTTGTTTTTTTTTTACTATGTAATGTAAATATTTTTGAATTCATAACGCTTTATATTACCAAATAAGCATATCCATATTATTGAATAATTCATCACAGCCTTCGTTATAACTGTCTCATATAGATGACAGAACTTTGTAATTGACTTATTAAACATTAGCAATAGCTTTTGTACAGGTAGTTTACTATTGCAGCTAGCACAAGCAGATAAACGTTCCATTATGCAGACGACAGCAGGCAGCCAAGTTATCATAAGCAAATAGTTGGTAACCGCTACCGTTCCGGCAAATACACTAGAAATTGAAACAAAAATATATATTTAATATGAATATTACGGTTTTACAAATATAAGAATAATTTAGTTATAGGACTAGTTCCACTAAGAAAAAATGCCAGTCGTAACATTGCACTCAAACAAAAAAATATCTTACCCAAAGCATTTAATAGCTGTTATGGAACTAGTATACGACGAAAAGAAAGCTGTAGCAGTGGTTAGCGAAGATACAAACATTGATAATGCTGAATGATGAAATGCGGACGCCATTAAATTCTGCAGAGTTTCTGTGTGCTCACTTCCACCCTCAACAATTAGTGTTGCGTGAGTGGAAGATGTTGACTTTGCTGATTTAGTAAAGCGTTCCGCTAGAACACATTGCCAAATTTTTACAAAGAGAAATGCATTGTCAGCGCCAATACCTGAAAAAAAAGTCTTTATAACAAACTATTCTTATATGTGATATGGAAATAAATAAATTTACTTACCTATGATTACCACCACAGCCAGTAAGTTCATGTATGGAAAGAATGACATTTTAAAGACCAAAGTGTAGGCAAAATAAGCCAAACCCAATGAAAACAGCACTGCTACACAAACCATCAATGTAACGAAAATTGACGTTGTATACAACCAAATACATGTCATAACGAAAATACCGCCTAATGAAACCAGCCAAACGTCTGTCAGCAGCGATTCATTAAATAGTTCGTTTTCAAGTCCCAAGTCCATTGATACTACTTGCACAAGTTCATTTTTTAAATCACTGGAAAAAATTAAAAAAAAAATATGAAAGCTATTACATTTATTTTTAATATGTACTCATAATAAAAATTTTATTAAATAAATTCTGTGATAAAAAATTTAAACTATAATATTGCCTATTGTTGTGCTGTAGGATAATACTCTTAGTCAGTCGCAAAATGTTGGATTGTTGCGGAAATCATTTGACAACGTACAAGTTTGACTATAAAACCAGGAAGTCAAATAATTATGCTAATAGAGCCACGAAAATTGAGCAACCGGATGAACCGCTTATAAGCAATTACTATTGGTTTCCCTTACAAGCGAATGGCATCCAAGCGAAGAGCAAAGTATGGCCTAAAACTACGGTTGGCATGGAAGAATATAAAGATTTTGTAAAACGTTTGGAGAATTGTAAGAAACAATTATTTAATATGTTTTTTCGATGTCCCGATGTCAACACCAAATTGGTTGAAAAAATGCTAAGGGACTTAGAAAAGAGTACCTATATGGTAACCTATTCACCAAATTATTTTTATTCCAAAAAGGAGTCTCGACGTTTTTTAAAAACAGCACACGAAAAGAGTAACTTGAAATATTACGAAACCACGTACGGAACATACTACAATCGCGTAAAAGAACTAGAACGATTTAAAGATGTTCTGTATGGTATGATGCCAAAACACGAAAGGGATAAATTTCATGATGAAATAAATAAATTGTATATAACAGGAGTAACTACTTATCAAGTTAGCTACAATATTCCAGCAATTGAACAAGCAAAAAAGAAGCAAACCAGGGACGCGCCAATTGATAGATATAGTTTGCGTCGAGTATAGTCAATGTGTATATATAAAATTCCTGTAAGTTGGTACGTTGCAAAACTCTTGTAAAAAATTCTATACTTACGTATTTTCCCATTCATGAAATAATGGTAGAATTTTTGATGTAGATGCTACAGGTACAAATATCATTGCATATTTCATAAATACTGTTGTGTCCTGTTAAACGAAATAAAAATATAGATACATGTTTTTAAGGTAATAAACCATATTTTTTTAAATTGGGTTTTGTTAACTATTTGTACTTACATTCAAACGAATAAAATTGTAATCGGTCAAAAAATGTAAAATATTATAAACAATATTTCCGTGAGTACATTCGCTTGGAGCTTGACAGGGGCTGAACTCGCTGCAATCATTGCTTAACTTTAAGTCGTGATAATATTCGAAGCACATCACCAATAAATTCTGTAGGATGACAACGTCCGTAGTCTGAAAAATAATGAAACTTAGTAAAAAAAAAAAAAATCATAATATAACGGATCATTTACGGACATTTAAATCAAAGCAAGAAGTCTTATTGGCCAAAAGTGCAGCATAATTAGGTAGTGACCATGGGCGACAACAGGAGTCAGTGAGTTCTTCTCTTTGACAAAATCCACCATAACTTGGTATAGCAATAATTTGATTCTGTAATTGACACATGGCTAGCAAACTATTAAGGTCGAAAAGTGAATCCGTATCATTAGGACCTATACGCTCAACTACAAAGTGGGAGTAATCCTTGGAGGGTGAGTCACAAAAATACCCTTCCACATGAGGCCCAGCATTTCCGTTTGGCGGAAATCGAGCTTGTTTAATAATGTTCCACGTACTCTTTTTAGACTGCACCTTTTCTCGGTGGTAGTCTTCATCAATAGATGTGGTATTACGACCATATTCAAAATGTTCACTTCGATTTACTTGTTCCAAGCTTGACAATGAATCATTTGTAATCTCATAATCCCGAAACACTCCACTATCACCATTCCATTGAGTTGGTAAAAGATCGGTCTCATTGCTTTTACGGACTGTAATATTAAACCGATTTTGCAACGAAATTATCTTCTTACTCATGTGTAATTCTTTCTTATGGTGTTTTGGGTTTTTGGGCTTTTTTCGATTTTTACGTTTGTGAGTTCGATTGTGACGTTGATGTTTTCGCATATTTTTTAAATGATGATAGTTATTATTATTGTAAAAGAGCAAATCATTTGGGTCTGTTACTAGACTACCAGAGGGTCCAGTCTCCTGTATAAGATTATTCCAAGCGCTCAGACGTTTTCCTAACGGCGTGCCTCGTGTTTCAAAGCCCTGCAAACATGGATAAAATATGTTTTGAAAACATTTTTGCAATAACTACGTAAATATCTTATACTAAAATCACTATATTCCTGTTATATGAAAGTAAATACTGAAGGTTCTGTTCAACACAGATCTTGAAAGAAATGCTTTCTACTAATACAGAAGTGAAATATTTTATAAATAAAACAGTATGTATAAACAAACGTTAATCAATATGGAGTTATATCGAATAAATTTATATCTTATGTCTGTGACTAGGAAAAGAGGAAGGTACATCCTTCTGCAATCCAACACAATTTCAAAATAAAAGGTGTTAAAGTGTATACAATATTTTAAAAAAGTTGGTTATAGAAAATAAAATTTGCGTAAACACATGCATATAGGGTAGTTAAACAAACATATTCTAGTTAAGTAAGGAATTCACACATACCAACGTGGGATCACTAAAATCTGGTACCGAATTCATGGTCACGGATACAGTGATGCAAGCTGTACATAAAACGGCCACGGCCAGAACCATTAGATAAGGCCGTCGCACCAAAAAATTGTAATACCAATGCATAGGTAAGGCCGTAATGAAATTCTAAATTGAGTAACTTTTCTAATATATATATTCCTTGTAATGCACATATATCCTTTGTGTATTTAACTCAGTAATTTCATAATGCCATTAAAATTGCTGGCCTTTTTAAAAAATTACTTCTCCGTATTTATTCAACTCATATTTTATCCTCACACTTAATTTTGCTGATATCTCAAACACTTTTTCATACATTTAGATGTATATTAATCTCTACTGTGGTATTAACATTTGCAAATTTCTATGAAAGAACAACAAAAAACAAAACGACTACAGGTATTCACTAAACAAATAATGCTTGTAAAATAAGCATATGAAACAGTATATATAATAAATAATCGGACATCATTGCAAGAATCTACTACAATTACATTTGCAATTTTAAATCTATTCCTTTTGCTGAGTTTCCTTGGTTATCTATTTAGAACTTGAATAATAATCAATCCTAAATTAATTATTTATTCATTCTTTCGTGTTACCCAATGCATTAGTGCAATCATCATTATATTATAATGGTAAAAATTTAAATTATAAAATTAAATTGAGTAACTAAACTAGATATTTTTTCTGACAAAATAGTAGTTAAAGAAAATGCAACACAGGATCTGATCAGCTGATCGCTAACTCGAATAGTAAAATCCGCCGGGTTATTTAATCATTGTGTTCATTAATTTTTATAAATGGAAATCAAGGTGTAGGTAATACCTTATGGATATTTATTAGTAATGCTACGTAAACTTGCAAATGTGTTTAGAGGACATTTAAAATATAATGGTAATTCATTTCAAATCGTATCATCCACATGGTATTCAGATACTAGTAAAGCGTTTTATTGTACAAAAAGTGAGAACAAAAGCCAGACACAAAATGATGACAATGCAGGCGGGACTAGAGGAAGGAGTAAGATACGAAAGCCACCGCTTCCCGCTGTTCAAAATCCTTTTGCCAATGTGACAAATAAAACTAAGGATACATACCTAGCAATGTTAGAGATTTTCCAAGAGCGTGATGTTCATCGGCGCAATCATGTCGAGTTTATTTATGCTGCTCTCCGAAACATGGCAGATTTTGGTGTAGAACATGATATAGAAGTGTACAAAGCTTTAATTAACGTTATGCCGAAAGGAAAATTTATTCCCACTAATGTTTTTCAAGCCGAATTCATGCATTACCCCAAACAACAACAGTGTATAATAGATCTGTTAGAACAAATGGAAGATCTGGGTGTAATGCCTGATTATGAAATGGAAGCCATGTTGTTAAATGTGTTCGGGCGACGTGGACACCCTTTACGTAAGTATTGGAGAATGATGTATTGGATGCCAAAGTTTAAAAACTTATCACCATGGCCTCTACCAAACCCTATACCTGATGATACACTAAATATCGCTCAGCTAGCTGTAGAGCGCATGTGTACAGTAGATTTGCAATCAAAAATCTCTGTATATGAAACCAAAAATGTTAAGGATTCTATTGATGATACGTGGATCGTAAGTGGTATGAGTGCACAACAGTCACAACTATTACGAGATCATCCCCGCGATAAAGCCGTTTATATAGAAGGACCTTTTTTGATCTGGTTACGAAATCGCTCAATTAATTACTTTACGTTACGAGCAGATCCAGATCCAAACTTGCTACAAAGTCTTCAAGAAGAACAAGAAGATCAGGATGGTATGATCAGTTTTGTTTCTAAAGCTGTATAAAAAAATTATTAGATATTTATATCAATTCAAATCAATAATATTTTAGATGTTTCACGTTTAAAGGCGCCATTCTTTGGCACAGCGATTCCTCGACCCAAAAATGCAGTTGGTAAAAACCGTTCTGTGCATCAACAAGAGGATGGTACAATTTTTGCAATTTGTGCAACTGGTACATCCACCAAGGACTCATTATTGTCCTGGATAAGATTGTTAGAATCTAACGGAAACCCGACTTTAGGTGAAATACCAGTGCTATTTAGATTTAAATCTGTTGTAGCGGTGAGAGCAATTGAAATAGAAAGCCAAACGAAATCAGATAATCTGCAATCGAATCCCAATTCAAAAAATACGGATTGACATTTGTTGTAATTTATGTCTTACGATGTATTAAATAAAAATTTCTTTATAATACTTAAAATTTCTTTATAAATTAGGGTATAATTTCACACTTTTTATTCAAGTCAAAAAGAACAACCAAGGTAGTAGTAAAAATGTACATAAGTATTTTATGCTGGTATTACAGTTAAAATATGGTATTTTGTTAATTTTTTCTTTATGACGATGGTATTCTATGACCTCAAACTAAAGAGAAATATATTACATACAAATTTACATGCAACATCTACAGCTTGCGACTATAAATTTTTGCAAATTAAATGAAAAAAACAGTATATAAGTAAAAACTTTTAAAATAATTTTGAAACCATTCTTTTTACATAAGCGAGTCGTTTGTGATATGTATAAATTCACCGAAATAAAATGCTATAGATTTGTATAAATACACAAAATCTTATTCAAAACATTTTTTCTATGTCTAATTATGTAATGAAAAATACAATCAAAATTGTTTTCTAGCTGAGCTATTACAAATGTTATTCGAAAATATTTTTTTTGAATTAAAATACCGTAATATCTTTAGATCATTAATTATATGTTCGAATTGAAAATTCTATTAAGTATGTCTAGGCAAAAATATTTATGACTAGAACTCATATACTTACTTGAAGTATTTTCGTAAAAATTTAATCCACATTCAATTATATGCAGATTATAAAAATGTAATTACATAATAGTGATTGAGGTATAGGTCAATATAACATTTATAATACCTTACAAATTTTTCAAGTCAGTTTAACTAAGAATATTTACACATTGAAATAAATTTATCCGCCTGATTTGTTGAGAGGAAAAACTTTTGTAACTACACCGATGCCCTTACTTGTGCCTTCACGAAATAACATGCGTACGCCCGGTCGAACATACTCAGGATGTCCAACAAATTCAAACAAAACCAAAGCACTATCATTGGTACCCATTTTTTCACGCTCTTCTATTGCTCGAATAATTGCTGTTTGCCGGATGCTGCCTATGTGTATAGTCGTCTGAAAGCCTACGTAAATTGCTGTAGCGTGAAAGAGAACAGACACTTCTGCCTAAAATGTCAAGCAAAATAAAATAAGCACAACAATAAAGTATAGTCATTTTAAAACACTACCTGAAAAAGGAGTGTGCCGTACGGTTCCTCTTCAGGATCGCCAGTATCGCCCAGCAACGTCATTCCACTTCTAAGTAGCGGCAACGTCTGGTTTGGGATAAATGATAAAGATGCACTTTGCCCCGCTCGTACCATCCTACATGGAGCTTTGTTTCGATGAATTGTGTGCACATTAACAGTATGAAAACTACCGTCATGTAAAGGTCCAATTTTCATTTGCATGTTTTCCGTGAGTACTCCTTTTACGAGCAAACCGCCAACTACTGGACCAACTTCGGTTACTCGAAAAATCTCATCGATATGAAATTCACTTGATTCCTGTTCCAGACGTTCTTTTTCCAGATTACTAATGCTGGGTGACAGAACGTATAGAAACTTTGTAAGCAGACTAAGACCTGCGCCGGTAACGTTTGAAACACAAAATATGGGAACAATATTTTCGGAAACTTGATTAGACGCTGCTGAGATAGCCTCATCAGCATTTGTGACAATAAATGGCAACTTCCGGCATCCCGCTGATGTAAGAACCTGCCGTAATTCTTGTACTGTCTGTTCCGGACTTGTTATATCGGTCTTGGTAACAACGATGAAGAATGGCATATCCAAGGCTCGGACAATAGATAGATGCTCCTTACTAGTACCAGTACAACCGCTGCCAGCTGACACCACTAACATGGCGTAATGCGGTGAGTAACCCAACAGTGCCTGCACTGTTGTTCGCATGTATCGTCTATGACCAGCCAAATCTAGAAACGTTACCAGTTTTGTAGAGCGGTCGCTAATTTCCTCGGCAGTCGTCAATTCATTATATTTGTAGTTTATGATTGTTCCCTGTTATTGAGATAAATTTAATTTGCTTCAATTTTTTGAATGTTTAGTTGGTTTTGCACTGTATTCTTACCTGCGAATCGAAACCAAGAGTTTCATGTGATATACTTGAAGTGCGACCCGATTGTATTTCGTGCATATGTCTAAACATAATAAGCCGTGCCAAACCACGGCCATTGTCGAATTCACCTTGCGTAAGCACACCTAGTAGTGTGGATTTCCCTGCCTCCGCGCCCCCCAGTACAGCAACACGAATTTCTATATTATGTTGATCATCAGGTATTTTACGAACTAAAACTTCGGCAACAGATCTTCGTGTTGCTATATATTTTCGTCGTAAAACTGAGGTACTAGCGCCTAACTTTTGCGCCATTTGTTTTAGTGTGGCCAAGGAGGCACTCATGTCTTTTTCATTAAGTCCATGTAAATGCCCTGAATCAGATACCCCGATTTCGTAAACAGCTTCACCATTTCCTTCGCGCAGTCTCCATTTCATTTGAGTTACAAGATGTTCGAACCGATGCTTCGATGGACTAATTAATTTTAGTTTGTACTCAATATTTCCCAATTGTGGTTCGGGTGGTAAAATACCCTGATCAAAATCAATAATAATTTTATTATTTTGCAAATCTATTTCGCCTTCGCTGCTGCTGCTGCTTCCGCTTTCACTGCTTCTTTTATGTATGCTACCATTTGCTTTTACAAAAGTTTTCCGGATCTTTGATCCATTGCCTCGAACTGGACGGTTGTTGTTGTATTTGTCTGCTTCGTGATTTCCCTCATCGGAATCGAAGAGACTTATAAGACCACAATCCATAATCTAAGGAAAAAATAAAGAAATTCGACTTCTGATTAACAATACTTATAAATTTTATATTATCTAGTTTTATTGAAAAAAAGAATGATTTATACTACATATGTATGAAATTGTTAAAACAAAAAGGGTGTAAATCCGAATAACCCCATGGGAATTTAACGAGTATAATTAATAAACATATATTTGATATTTTGATGATAATAAATGTTTTCGTTTTGCATCATTTCTGGTTAACCTGAAAGCCCCTTATAAATACACGTATTGTATGCATACAAACTATAAGTTGTATGAATGTATGAATGTAGGTTTGGCAAATTTATACTTTTAATGACGTGTAAAGTTTGAGTAGGTACAAAAGAAATAATATCTCGACAAAATTTCACAATTCACAAAAATTGGGTTTGTTTTCCAAACATTGCGCACTAATAAAAAATAAATAATGTTGATTTCTTATTTCTGGTGACCTTGAAAGTTGAGGACATGTTTATTTATGTTTGATGCCAAGAATGGCCATAGACCTTCGGTTTATTTCATTTTTGTGAACAAAACGCAATGTACGTATGCTTTTTATTTGCTCTTTTATTCAATTCTTTTTTACTTTAAATTTATCAATAAATATCAAAATATTCACACTTTCGAAATTCGTTCGCTAAATAACCCGCTAAATTTGGGTTCCTGTTTGTTTTTCCTGTTACCAATAATTCTACATCTAGCCTGATTGGCAGAAATCGATTTATTGCAACTCTAGAAATAAATTCAAAAGGAATGAAAAGAAGAGAATGAATGATGGATAACAAATACAAACATAAATACTAAAGTCACTGATACGCATACATACAGGTTTTGCTACAATATAAATTATATCAGTTTGATTAAACAGTTGAATTTATACCGATTTACGGTTTAATACTTTTGTTCAAGAAAAGAAGTCGTTCAATATAAAAATATCAGTTTTTAATATTTTTGTACTGTTAAGTTTTATATTATAAAATACTAAAACCTAGATTTTGAAATAAAAACATTTTACCAGAAATAATGTAAATGGTTTTCGTTAAAGTCTAGTAGCGACACATAAATTTTGTTGTTTTTGTATTATATTTGAATAGATATACCACTTTCAATTTTGTTTCCTACTGGGTTGCATTAAAATATTTTTGTTTACTTCGATTATATATAATTCGCGTCATTTCGTCTCTATTGCTGTGTCCACGCAATACAAATAGAAGGATCAGTAAAATAAGAGAAAATATTTCGTTGTTGTTAATAACAAAACATCTTTGTTTTTGACTATGCGTTTTCTTTGATAGCACAACAAAGAAATTTAAATAACAGCGCCAAGTGCCCGTTCATATTCATTTAGCTACATGAAAATACATCTGTTTACAACTTTACTACGTACCTGTAGAAAGTGCAGAAATATAATATACCTACATATATGCATACAATGATAACAATGTTTGAAACAATAAAATTATTTCGATTTGAGGTATTGCCTCAACCAACAAAATCAAATTGGTATTTTTTTTTATATACTTATAGTGTTTTGCAATCCTTTCACTTTTTGCAAACGTAATTGTCTGATGCAATTTGAATAGACAAATACAGTCGAATGCGTTTCACATTATTTCACAATCACATATGTATATATATGGAAAGTTTTTCTTGAAATTATAAAATGTCTTATAAATTAAACTACTATTTCACAAAATTGTATTTTTTTAATTTCGTACTTGATTACTGCTTATGTATTCCCTTCGTTTATTTCAACAGAAAATTTCATAATACACTAAAAGAATTATTCAATTTTCACAAAATGCAATACTACTTTTATTGCCTAAAATCGCGTCCATAAATAAGAGTTTCCTACCACAATTTTCATTTTATAGCTGAATTTGTGCTTGAAATTATAATGACAATTCACACGTCAAGATTGATATTCCAATTAGTTTAGTCAGAGAATAGAAAACCTTATATCGGAGATAGTTAATGAAGAATTTCTGGTTGAATTTCAAAACAAATGCGTCGTTTGAATGTTTGCCTTATAATTTAAATAATTTAATATATTCGTAAATAATTAAATGAAAAGCAATATTAATGAAACTATAAAATATTAATTTGTCTTTTATTGAGAATTTCAGGTAACTTGCTAGGCTACTTGCATGCGGAACACTTATGTACATACATAATTATATCAACGATGATTATATTATATCTTCATATATACATTTACATTAATCATTTATAAAATTATTATTTTTACTTAATTCTTTCATCTTAATTTTAGTTTGCAATATTTCGGATAAATAACGATACTCATTTCTGTATTGAATGGAATAAATAATCACATAAACAAATGAATAATTACGAATTTATAACATATTTTATAACATACTTACTACTATATGCAGCTGTTATTTTAAATTCGTTTTCTTCTGAATGATGTTATATGTGAATGGGCCCTCAATGTGTAATTATCTTTTTGAGTGAAATGCAATTTATATAAATATTCAATTAGCGATTGTTAAAATCTTATGTGTGGGCTTCAAAACATTTAATAATATTTAAGGACCACAGCGGCAGTCTCTTTTCCCAGTATTCCTTCATGTTGAGTGTTGTATACAAATTATAAAAATTTTTTAATTGTTTAAACCAAGACTAGGAAACTCTGGAACGTACAGCTGTTTTTTGTTTACATTACATCATTAATAAACAAATAAATATTGGCACAGACATCAGTTGTACGTTCAAACCGCACAAATTAAAAACTTAAAAAAATATAGAAAAGAGCAAAACTGAGATTCATTGTCTCATCCATGGATTCTTAAACCTAGCGATTTCGATATGAGGGAAAGTAAAAAAAATTTGATATGATATGAAATTTACACATTTATTTACGCAAATAAAATTTTTATCATGATATCAATGCGTGTATATTTTTCTAGCAGATGTATACTTAAATCTTAAAAATAGATTCAACTAGTATCTAGTAACTTTTATGTCACAATTAAATTGAAGGATACGTGCACATACATGATCACATTAATATTGAATACATATGTTTGTATTTGCTGCAATCTCTAAAATAATAACGTAAATCAAATAATATACATCTTTGCTCCTAATTAATGATGGAATAAACACTTCAATAATATTTTTATTGAATTAAGTTTCTTCAGGTAAAATAATATTTCTCCTCTGTTGAATTCGTAATGTCCGCTGAGCTTTTTGGACTTTCTTGAAATGTTCCAACAATATTTCAAAGTCAATATTGCTTTGATATTGCAGTGATTTATTTTCATTTCTGTTGATATATATTAAATTATAAATATGCATTAACTTTTAAATTACGTTTATACTTACATTGGTGTTTGGCCCCAATAATTTGGTACACATTGCAAACGGTTTTTTAATAAGTGGAAAGCATCGGTTTGCGGTAATAGCATAAGAATACCAAAAAGTGCATGAGCCAAATGTTGAGCATCTGCACAATTATTTGATTTTGAAACCAGAGTAAGCCGCAATGCTGTAAATGCAATATATTTAGAATAAACTATAATTTTATAAGAATTTTCTTGAGAAAACTAGAGCTAGTATGCTTTATTACACTTACGCGCGAAAATTGGTGATTCTATCAGCTGTACCAGTTTATCCAATTCATTCAATATATCCAAAGTTATCTCTACGTCACCGCTGAAATTATTGCAAATTAAATGGCATGAATATATATTTACTTCGTTTTCGACCAACTTATAAAGTTTGATTGACATTTAAATGTTGATCAACTTATGTTAAATATAAATCTTACTTACAACAATACTACCAGCTGCGATACATGTTGATAACTTTGGGTTAACAAACAAAGAGATAGTGTGGAGACGGGACAATGTGCCCAACTTTTATAAAGACATTTAAATAAATTCGCGGAATGTTCATTTGTAATGTCTCGTAGCGAATTACGTAGTTCAAACAATTCAGGCGATGTCAAGAGTATCATGTTGAGTAAACGCACCATTGTTGATGCAAATTTAATAATTTCTTCATCAATGATTTCAGAAAAGGTGCGATAGATATATTCGGCATTTAGCAGTACACACAATTGTCTGCAATACAATTGTTAAATCACATAAAATTATCGAATAAAAAAGAGGTATTTTAAGCATATAACAAAAATATTACCTAATTATAAGGCTGGCCCGATTTTCCAAAAACTTCTTTTCTTCACTAAACAAATTGAGCAAACTTAAAAGGAATTTTCGGTAATGCGCTTTATTAAAGTCCCTCGAATCTACTTAAAGCGAAAAAATGAAAATGAGATGCTGAATTAAGTAAATTAACACAATTCAAAATGAGCTTACCTTCGTTATGTGTTGAATTTAAAATTTTGGCCAAAACTGACAGACATTGTAATACGACTTCATCGGAATTATCTGATAGTATGCCCAGTAAATTAGCACCTAAACTGCTTGCATGTGGTGACATCTAAATTTAAAAATGTATTATATCATTTGTACGTGAATTTATACACAAACCTCGTTTGGGAAATGTGTAAATAGATGATGAATCCATTTCAATACAGCAATTTTCGTGTGCACTGAATTATGTGTTAAATACTGCGACAAAACTTCCATAACTGAACGCAAATCTATTTTTTCAATATTTTTTGATTTGTGCTCCTTTGATGAAACCAATGACATAATCGAGTTGTTCACCGAAACTGCACATTCTTTGATATCTGTGAAATTGTAAGTATAGTTATGAATATTAAGATAAAATACAATTATTGTTAATACTTTTCTTAGATTCCACGTTGTACTCTAGACACGGTAAAATCGCAGTAAATATTGCACTGGCATGCGGCAAAACATTTGGCCCAAATGTTTGTACAAATTCACGTATCCACGTTATAGCGATTGACTATATGTACACACATAATTAAAATAATTTACATAAAGAAAAAATATTTCATTTTATATACCTTAATAAGTTCATTAGTAGATTGAGCATGAATAATTAATATGTTTATTGTGTCCTCCATTCGCACGGATGTAGAATCATATCGGATGGATTTTAAAAACTGGCTTAAAGTGGTTTCACACCTAAAACAATAACACATACAAAAAATCGTACTGCCAACCTGATATTCTAAAGAAAATATGTACATACATTCGTTGAATTTCTAATGTATTGTCCTCTAACATTGTAAAAAGTCCATCCAAAATATCAGTTAAATAGATTAACATATTTATTTCAGGGACAGCGTTCAAAATTGAAATCCACGATATTACATACTGCCTTGCAAATGAGTTGTTTACGTAAATACGTTCCTTAAGTAGTGGTATAAATGCCTCTAGATTAAAAATTTGTGAAGACTCAGTTACGATATCCTGAAATAATCCGAATTCGTTGATTAATACAGATTTCCAATACAATTTTATATAGATTACCTTAAGCAACCGATCAAGCAACTCACTACCGTCCTTTACCATTTGATCTGAATCAGTCACCAATCGTGATAATGCCGAGAATAAGTCTGGGAAAAATGGTATAATCGCGGCTCTAGCTACCTTAACAACATTGTATAAGGATTCGCAAGCGAAATAGCGAACTCGAACATCCGGATCACTAAGACAGTTCAAAATTGGAGTAACCAATTCTCCTACATACCGTTCGGAATCCTATAAGATATACCCAAATGTATATAATAATATAAGGCATTATTATTCATATTCATTATGACTCACTTTCCCTAATCCTAGGCTTGTTGCAGCAAGCCCAATTAAACCCCCTTTGCGCCGATTGGGATCTCTAGATATCGCAAACTGATTGGAAAGAACGTCTATAAGTTTACGTATCTGCAACGTATTACTTTTCGCATTAAATTCTGTCACCATTCTGTAATAGAATGTCGAGCAAATATTCGGTTTAAAAAAACTATATGTCTATAAACAACATTTTTAAAATACTTTTCGATTTCCTGTGAGGCAACCTTACGCTTTTCATAAGCCTTATCCGCTAAGGCTTTGGCACAGCTTTCGCTCAAGGGTGCATATTGTGATTCCATTTCTTCTGGTGGTAATTTATTTTTACAATATATCTATACTTAATAACAATTTAACTCCGCAGATTTTGTCACAATAGGATTGTCGCAATTAAAAAAAAACTTTCTATAATAACAGTGTTGCCAACGGAAAATAATTTTGGTAAAAATAGACTAGAAAAATAATCCCGCTGTTAAATGACTTCTTATGGACAATTAATAATATTGCAAATAAGAAAATTACCCGAAACTATATAGGACGGACATATGGATTTGAAATTCTCAGATAATTACTCTGTTATAAAAATTATATATTACTTTTACGATCTTGTCGTAATCCTTTGGGTGATTTCAAACTACCGCTATAACCGTATACTAGAAAAATGACAATTTAAAATAAAATTTTTACAATAAAATTATTCACATTTTTTGGAACACCATGAAGATTCCGTTTTATTCAAAGTGTATTTAACAGAGTGTTGACTAACTTACTACAAATATATTAATTTTACATTAAATATATTTCAAATAAAAAATCGCTAATAAAACTCAGTTAAGAATATAAAAACACATTGGTTAATACGAATCACCTCATTTTAATGTATTACATATACGAATATTTTATGTACTATTTTTCGATTCAAAGATTTGGTTGATACCAAACTATTTTACCACTGCGACAACCTGCGACCAGTAGTGGTTCACGAGGACTAAATCTCGTACTCAGAACTATATCAGAATGAGCTCGCATTGTCTTAATCTCTGACAATGGCTGAGCCTGCCTTTTTAAACTGGAGTAATTACTGTGATGTGGATAAACCGAGCAATCTTTAGAGAATCCGAGTAGTCGGACTCCTGTTGCATATGGTGAGCAAATAATGCGACCATCAGATGAAAAGCATGGTTCTTTTATGAACGTTTTTTCCTTGTTCAATTCCTTTATATAGTATGTCAACTTTTTGGGATTTTGGAAGATTTTTCCTTCAGACTGGTTACCAGATGCTCGCGGAGTTGCTGGTGATATTTCTGTCGGGATGTGATGAGCTGAATTTGACGAATTAATGCGAGGAGTTGATTCATCACTTGAGGAACCACTGTCATCACTGCTTTCTTGTGTTTCAAATCCTCGAATAAATCGAAATCCCGAATTTCTAGACATAGGCAATGTTGATGACGATGTACTGTTTAACCCTCCAGCAGGCAACACTCCGCTACTAATTGCATAAACAAAGTTGTAGACGTTCGTCGAGTTGGTTTCCCTATCTCGGTTTTGCCGTGAAGCACGATCTTGCATAGTTACCTCGGCCGCCCAAATATCAGGGACAAATGTATTTGCAGCATTATTGTTACTATTCGAACTACCATCTGCATTACCAGCCCCAGCACTTCCCGAGGGTGTACCTGCATTACGAGCTATAAATTGGTCAAAAGGCATGACTACCGGTGAATCTTCTGACCCACCAGACTGAGTTGGTAACCTATTACCACGCGTTCTACGGTTAATGCTAAAAACTACATCATCGTTTGTTTCGCTGCTTCCAGCTGCAGGTTGACTTGATTCAGTTTCATTGTCATCTTTATCTGTATCCGATTCACGTTTCCGTTTTCGTTTATTAGTGTCATTAGCGCGTTTCTTTATGCTTTCGGTTACATCATCTAACTCCTCTTCCATATCATGCACTGTCAACCATTCCGTAAGGCCGTCATAACTTATATTTCGACTAAGGAAACAGTGCCCTCTTGGATGGACCTTAATTAATTAAAAAGGATAATATAAATATATTTTTTTAAATATATATATGAAAATGAAATGTATACCTCTAACGCGAGTATAACTTCAGCATCATTATCTTTTGGGAAGTCTGTAACAAGTTCCACTCTGTTCTTTTTTTGTTTTTTAGAAAACACGTGATCGAATTTGGCAGCTTGAGGTATGTACTGTTTTCCCATCTGCATTAATCTATATATAATTGGCTGTCAAAAAATAAAAATGATATTATTCTAATTCATATTAATGCCTAAATGTAAACTGTCACTTACTCGAAAACCACACAAATCTTTATGTAAAGTTGTTAAGTCTAAATCATGTATGATCATTATATAGCCGCCTGTTGTACACAATACAAGTTTTGAGCCATCAGGGGTTATTCGACATCTCATTAAGCCACTTGTATGGAAAACTTTTTGGTATATAAGTCCTTGTTCAGTATATGAATTTATATCCCATGTAAATATACTTCCATCAAATGCTGATGTTACCAGTAAGTTATCCTTTTTTGAGTACTCTATACTTTTCACCCAATTTGAATGACCTTGGAGGCTGCGCATTTTAGTTTTTAAGAATCGCAAATCCCATAAAGCAACTGTAGTATCATCTGAGCAAGTTGCAAAATGTCTATTATTAAGGAATCTGAAAAATAATTTCTCTCAATTTTGTTGTCAAAATGAATTCAAACTATTGTTTTACCTGATGCAGTTTACGTTTGACGTATGCGCGTCCATTATTCGTTGAGTGGTCTGTCTGCTGACAACATCAAACATTACTATAGCTTTTCTTTCACAAGCAGCAACCAACAAGCTCCTTTTAAAGAAAATAATTATTATACATATCATTTGTTATACAATATATACAAAAACACACCCTTCCGGAGAGAACTCCATATTGAAAACACCACCAACATTTAACGTTTCGTTATTAGATTTACTAAATTTGTCATTCCACTGATATAAAGGTCGCATCGATTGGTAAACTTGTGGCATAATAAAGTCTTGATCAGCTTGACTACGTAGGAGACCATTTTCACGCCGTAATAACCAACTATGAAAACTCATTCTATATAGTTTGTTTATATTTTATTTTATAGTTATGCAAAATTTTTATGTTTTATCACTTTTTATCAACTTTGTGCAATTCATCTAAAGGCGCCAAGCCCTTAAGAGTTTTTGATAAAAGTTTCTTAATTTAACTCTTAATATACAATTTTTGAAACTGCAGTCCTTTTTCGCGTCTTAATCACTTTTCATCAGCTGTGTGCTATACATTCACAATATTATTTAGAAAATTCAAGTTTGCATTCTACAATACTTCTTCTTCTTTATCAGGTGCCGAAGCAACTAATTTCGAAGGAATGCGATATACCATACCTCACACATGCAAGGTTACATGCAAGTTTTATTTTATATACATAGAAAAAGAACGGAATATGAATTATGTAATAAATTAAGACATGCATATTTAGCACGTACAACAAAGTTATTAGCTGTCCATTTAGTTTGAGAGCTGATTTACATATTCTCTATTGTGAATTAGCGGCAATATTATTATGATTACATTATTACACGCTGAGAGCGTGAGACATCACTGAAAGGTTTTGTAATCTCCTGGATTGATATTTAGCTATGGTATTTAATTACTTCAGATCTTGTGATGTACTGTGTTATAAAGAAGTGTCGTCACGCATTTTTGATTTAAAATCACGTAGTCATACAGCTGTTGCCTTTACGTTAACATTCTACGTTCTGGACTAATCGAGACATTACATAAATAGCAATCGATAGCGCAAATACTCAAAGAAAACAATACGAAAAAAAAAAAAAACAATCAATTGATCTAGAATTTATGTTTTAAATATCTAAGATTAATTGAAGTTTCATAGAATTTCGAGAGGAAAAAAAGTTTTAGTTAAAATGGTTGTTCCCGTTCCGAATCCAACTAAGGACTTGATTCTTAAGCTTATGTCTGAAAAGGAAGCAATGGAATCGAAAATATCCGAGTATGGAAATATTTTGGCAAATGTAAGTTTCTCTTTGATGAATTAACTCTATTCGCTTTAACGTGTTTATATACACATATATTATTTTCTTATAGAATGCTAATGTTGGGATGGATGGACCCTTGATTGATGGAGATGGATTTCCACGGAACGATATTGATGTTTATCAAGTGCGACAGGCGCGTCAACAGATAATTTGTCTTCAAAATGATTATAAGGCACTGATGAAAGAAATAGAGAAGCAAATGCATAAATTACATTCCGAGGCAGCGGAAAGTCAGACACAACTGTTGTCAATCAATACAGCTACCTTACGGTTGGAGGGTGATAATGACGTGCCCACTACCAGTATGTCGCCTCCATTGGTGGTGCCACCAGTGAAAGTTATAGTAAAAGTAAATATGATAAGTCCAGGATCACCGGCTGAAGAGGCTGTAAGTTATCAGAAACATACTATGGGTATAAACTATTATTCATATTATAATTTCTCGCAGGGTTTACGAGTAGATGATGAGATTTTGGAATTCGGCACCATTAATTCCAGAAACTTCCAAAACAATCTAACTCAAATTAGCGACTTGGTGCGCCATATGCAAAATAAAAGGGTTCCTTTAAAAGTACTACGTATGGGGCAACAGCTAGATATGATCCTTATACCTAAATCGTGGAGTGGTCGAGGTCTATTGGGTTGTAATATTTTATTAGCCGATTCTTAAGGGTTTAAAGAACATATTACTTATCTAAAACATTTTTACTATATATCTATTAATATTGTAATGCATCTACGAAATTTAAAATGTATATTGATCTAATATCCGAATCTATATATCTATATAATCTATATATAATTTACTGTGATAATAACGTCCACGGTTTATGTCAAAACCTTAAAATCACATTAAAAATTGAAAGTTGAGTAAGAACAAAATCTATTTGTAGTGAAGACTGTTGTCTTGTCCTAACCTAACCTAACACTGTTGTCAAAATTCACTATAATTTTGTAATATTACATTCAAAAAATTATTTTAATATATTAAAGAAATTAGGCAAGCATTTTTTAATAACCGCGGTTAGTTTGAAAAAGCATTGCTGACATGAGAGGATTTTACATACAATTTTTCATATGCGATTTAAAACTGCAAATTAATTTTATACATATAATATATAGGTGGCGATTTATTAGGCAAGGCTTGTTTAAAAAACTTCTAGAATAATTCCGCCATTTTATGATTATTATTCAAGTGTTAACCTAGATGCAGGGAGTTAAAAGTTATTCAGGCGAAAATAATTGGTTTCTTAAAAATGTTAGATATTGTCATTATAAAATGAAGCTAATTCTCTCGCTGTATATATTTTTGCGGATCGAGGTGCCGTTATTTTTACTTCTTTTCGATAAGCTATTATACGTCCTTGTTGCAAATTCAATTTAGTAAAATGTTGTTAATAGTTTGTGATTTTTCTTTATTTACTCAATAAATGCACTTGGTTCAAGTTTTTTCATATCCGGCAGTGTTCATCGCTCAATTTATTTACAATTTTCACAATTGTCGGAGTGTACAGCAAGCATTTGGGGGGATGAAAACGGGTTGACAGATTGTTCTCAGTTGTTATTCAGCCAAAGAGAGCATCTTGCTCTCCTAGCGTCAGCATCACCAGCGGCAGCACCATACGCTGTGAGGAGCAATATGGTATGCTGTGCTCACAGGATACAAAGTGAATTCGATTTAGTAATTTTGAGTAGTCAAAGCGCGTGCATTCGCTTACAAAGGTAAAAACGATATTCGGCGCGATGTGACACGACGGCAAGAAAATTCTAAAGTATTAATAAAATATTAATACATACGAGTATATAAAATATTTTGAGCACAAATCGAATGAGAAATTTTTTAATTAAATTCAACTAATTAATGTGAGCAGTTCAGTCTTATATATGAACTAAACCAGTTCTTCGCAATAATCAAATTTGTTCATGTCAAGCGAATAATAAAGCGAAGTGAAAATTACGAAATAGTATTCGCTAAAAAAATGTAGCTTTCAAATTCGAAGTGTTTTAAAATATTTTAATTTGTAAAAAAATTATTAAAATAATGCTAATTAATGTATGGTGCAATCGAATTAAAAGTTTGCGAAGGATTATCCTTTTACAAAAGTACATGCATATGAATACATATACAGTATGTATGAATATACAGTTGTAGTATGCCATTTTACACATACATGTAATACATGCGCCTAAATGTATGTACCCATTTGCTTGAGAGTTTCATGCGAAAACAAATATTTGAGCAGCATAAAAATTAAATTTACCAAGTATGGAAACTGGAGTTTCTTTTAAGCTTCATGCCTGAATAGCTTTCTAAGTTGTTGTAGTAGCGGCAGAAAACATTCCTGAAGTAATTTCGAGGAATGGTGCCGAGTTGACAGTCCTTGGCCAGATAAAAATCTGGGTCTGTTCCGGGCACTTAGAACCGACAGTCAAGGGAACAGCTGTCTAAGGCTTTGCTTATACTAATTTACTTATTATGATGAGTTTCAAAAGTGTTTAACCGTTAAATCAAATCAATTCATTCAATACGAAAGATCCGAATTTTATTCCACTTTATGTTTGTGTTAATTAACCCCGTTTCATTTTCACCCGGTGCCGATATTGTTCGAGGAGCTATTCTTCAAAGAGATTTTATGTACATAATTCAAGTATCAAAACTTGGAGAGTACACGAAACGTGAAAATTATTATTATTTCAAATGAACCGATAACTGCTTATATATTTTCACGTAAGAAGGTAAAGTTTATATATAAATGATCAGAGTGTCTAGCTCTTTTTTATTTGACAAATTATCTTCACGAAATTCGGCACAGATTATTGTCAAAAGCAAGACCACATCCGTACAAATTGCTCCGATCGGGCCCATATAGTATATAGCTGCCATTTAAACTGAACGATCGAAATCAATACAAAGATCTATCCTTTAATGCTAATATGATGGTTAATATTTCGTCATTTTTATAAAATTAGCTGTCTGCGAATATTTCAGTTGACGTTTTGCCATTTTTATTTTATTTTCAGCTACTCATTTCAACTTTACCACTATTCTTTAAATATAGTTAATATTCTTTAATAAGTAATAAAGCAACAAATGAAAATGGTATTCCGACTAGTTATAATACATAAGCTTAGTCCATTTGTTCATATTATGCTTATTCTTGTTATTGTTCCGCTATCAATATGTATGTTTAGTTTATGTACATCCATCTTCCTGTCACTTCGCAGTACAAATCAAATGCTACTAAGATGCTACTGAGAGCAGAGATTTGACTCTCAAAAACAGCGGCAAGAGAGTAACTTTTCACCGTTTGTTCAGCCTTTAAGGACATGATGCAACTGTCGGCACCATGCCTTCGTGAGTCCTTTGCTTAAAGACGTCTATCGGGATAAAGTTCATTGCGGTTTTCAATATGTTTATGTGACTGTAGCTATGTGAAATCAGACAGACAAGCATAAAGCAGGCAGGCATTTGGTGGAGTAGCTTTTGCAGTAAATATGTGGCAAAGTTTGTTGGTAACATGTGCAGTAGTTTGAATAATTTTCGAACGATTTCTCGCAAAGCTGTTATTTAAATATATTGTAGATGTATGCATGAATGTGTGAATAATTAAAATGGTCCACCGCTGTTACATGGCAAGGCTACATAATTTCGACGCTACTGGTGTTGTGCCTTTTGCCACCAAGACTAACGATAGTGATATTGTTACTAAAATACCAACAAACAACAGGCGCAACTGTGTTGAAACTTTACGAAGCTTAGCTGCAATGTGGTAAATTCGCCGTCATATAGCTGCACAAGCGATTTGTATAAATGTGACGTATATTTAGTTGTGTTTTGTAAAATGTATACTTTGTTAACCTCGTATTCGCTTAAAAATAACACAAGGTCATCGTAGAGTGCAACGTAAATAGTTTCATTATCCTTCTGAGCGTCAGTTAACATATTCGAAACTTACATTATTTTCACTTTTAGATGCTTTAAAAGAAAAATGTGGCATATATGTAAATATTAGATTTTTGTAATTGAATTAATTACAATTCCTTTCCCATTCCTTTTCGGTTATTTTTGAATCTGTGTATGTCGTATTGTGCCACTTCTGGTTAGGCTAAGTGGGTGGTTTGATATGTACTATCTGATCAAATTTGACCCGGACGGACAAAAATCTACATTGGCTGCTAAGCAAATACAAGCATGCCAACGCTTAATTCATACACTTGCTATAAGGTTTCAGTGCCTTGGACGAATTTTGGTTTTTTCGGTCATCAAGTCAAATCAGACGTTCTATGAGAGTTTATACTGTTCACAGGATATGAGAGAATTTAATAAGAAACGTCAAGAATAAAAGAAATAAAGTATATAAACTCGATCTTACTACAGGGCCCATGTAACCGGCACGACCTCGGTTTATCTACCGCTACAACAATGACACATCAGACGACGCATCTATAAAGCCTTTCTATATTCACGTGATATTCTTTTTACTCATTATATACATATTTTATATCTATGAATTTTATTGAAAGTATGTATGTTCTTACATAGTGTTTTATGAGAAAATGCATTTTTGCATGAAAACTTGTGGAAAAAGAAGATCATATGTATACACAGAAGTATTCTTATTCAATATCTAGAGATAAGTGCTAAAAACTCTACACTAAAAATGTTTAAAGTGGTGAATTGTTCATTTAAAAAGTAAAAGAATTACATATTAAAACTCATTACAACTTAAAAAAAAGAAAAAGAAAAATTTAGTAATAACAGTTCAACATTAAAACCGAAAACTCGTTAATCATACGGTTGATACAGCTTCGTACAAATAGCGACATATTTGGAGGATTGTTATCTTCAGAACAACAAAAACATAATTCAGCTGTCAATGAGTGTATAAAGAAGTACTGAGCAATATCATATATTTATTGGATATAATCATACTCACTAAACATACATATAATTGCTACGTTTTTTGAATGGGCTTGGCGTTTAGCGTTTCGACGGTGCCAAGCAATGTATTTTCAATATTCAAATAGGAAATACAAGTATTCATTATAATCGCAATGATAATGAAGCTAAAAATAACACTTCGCCTAAATGAAGAATGAAGAAACAAAATGTTCGCACGATATCCTTGATCGTGTGCACATTTACATATTTACTAGTTGGCGCTGCTGTATTTGACTCGCTCGAATCGGAAACGGAAAAGCGGCGCTGGGAAGCACTGCAAGGTGAGTATCAATATTTCAGTAACAGCTTAATGCTTAGCAACCTTAAATATATCCAGCTGTAGGAAAACGCGACTATCTATGTATATATGCACAGACATATACATACATACGTTTAAATGCTGCCTGTTTACATATATATGTACTTGTACGTATGTAGATAAATCGGCAAGACGACAAACGCAAGTGGCCCACTTTTGTAAGCACATTAAATAAAGTATGTGCTTGTGCTAAGGTGCTCTCATGCATGAGAGGGTTACGAATACATTGACACACATTTATTTACATTTATGCATCCGGCTAGTCACTTACATGCACGATGTGTTTGTAGTTTTCTCGTGCACTTTTGTACGAGTGGCTTTTTGAACAGATTTTGTTAGTTGACTTTGTTGACGTCAATTGATAATGAACGAATTGGTATCGATGGCAATTATTTAAGTGCATAACATCTTATAGGATGGCATCCAACGGTGATACAAGGCTAGTTTAGATGTGACGACGACCAATATTGTTGGCCTTTTAGTTTTTGGTTTCACATGTGCATTGTCTAATCTGTCTGCTATCCGTTCGTTCATGCAACAGATACAATTATATTGAATCCATTTTTTTTAAATGGTGGAAAAACGGTACTTGTACCCTTGTATAATAAGACTGTCACATCCTACTTTTATATGAAACATCATATTGTAGGTTCTATTGGACCATTATAAATTGGCTAAAACTGAATATTACTGAATATTTCCTATATGCATAACAATATTTTATATTCCACCAGATATTTCACCTTATATTATATCAATCAAGCATCTATGAAGATATCGAAGTAGAACTTCGAACTTTATCTCTACTAGTCCCCCCGTTCTCGAATATGTGGACCACCGTGCTTATACTTGACTTAACCAGAAAATATAAGTAAATTTTTAAGAGAACTGAATGAAGTTAAGTGGCCATATTATGTTAATAATAAATAAAATTGGTTCAGTACTTCTCCTAGCCCCCATTACTGCTAATAAATTAGATTTTCGTGATGCTAGTAGACTTTAAGTATGTCGAATATACCGATTAGTGTGTGAGTTTTCTTCCTAAAAGTGCTTGCAAACAAATTTTCGATTATAATTATTTTAATATAAAGACTAAATGAAATCAGACCAGAACTTCCTCCAGGCCCCCTATAACTCATACTTTAATGAAATCGGTTCATATGCCCCCCCAATCGCCTTATATCCAATATGATGATTTCCGCTCTTCTGCTTTATTGACACCTAGAAATATTTTCTTGATTATACAATTTACAATTTACACAAAAGTTAATCATTAAATCAAAACCTATACCCGAAGTACACCTTATTCCGTTTTTTGAAAAACTTCTGGACCAATTTTTTATACCCTGATCAGAGTATATTAAGTTTGTCACAAAGTTTGTAACACACAGAAGGAAACGTCGTCTACCCTATAAATTATATATATATATATATATATCAGTGATCAGCGCCACGAGCTAAACTAGTCCCTCAGTTTTTGAGAAACCGATCTGAAATTTTGCTCTTCAAGAAACTGTTCATTTGTAGCAACCGCTGATATTGGACCATTGCAGCATACAGCAGCTATATGTTATAAACTGAATGATCATAATGGAGTCCTTGTACGGAAAACTTTTTTATTTGACTAGATATCTTCCCTAAAAATCTCCAAACAAATTGTTAATATCGGACCACTATATCGTATGGCTGCCATACAAACTGACCTATCAAAATGAAGTTTTTGCATGAATAGCTTTTTTTGTAATAGTGAGGGGTAGGATAGCGTCAGCGCAACCGAAGTTAACATTTTTTCTTTGTTTTTTACTTAATTTAAGTTTTTCACTTAAATTTCTAGAATTACGGGTGGTTCGATTCAACCCAAAGAATTGCTCAGAATTTCCAACAGAAGTTTTTACATAATATATAAATTTATTAAATAAATAAGTATGTATAATATTTTACAAGCCATATTTCAATTCTTCTTATTACTTTTTAGCTGTGGAAGATATGATAATACGAAAATATAATATTTCACAAGAGGACTTCAAAGTGATGGAGACAGTTGTGCTTAAGTCAGAACCACACAAAGCTGGTCAACAATGGAAATTCACTGGTGCATTTTACTATGCAACAACAGTGTTAACGACTATCGGTTACGGCCATTCCACGCCAAGCACAATCGGTGGCAAACTCTTCACAATGTGCTATGCAATTGTGGGGATACCATTGGGCCTTGTGATGTTCCAAAGTATTGGAGAAAGAGTGAATAGACTGAGCAGGTTAATTGCCTATTAAATACAAAATATATTTACAAATAACATGAATATTTCTATGTGCCTTGTATTTGCAAATTTAATTGTGAAATAATTTCTTTAACATTTTGCTTTCGTATTTTTTCAATACAGCTATGTTATACAAGCAGTGAGAAAGTCACTACGTTGTAAACGAACTGCAGCTTCTGAAGTAGATTTAATATGCGTTGTGACAACACTGAGCTCTTTAACGATAGCTGGTGGTGCTGCGGCTTTTTCACGGTACGAAGGTTGGAGCTATTTCGATTCAGTATATTACTGCTTTATTACTTTAACTACAATAGGTGAGTTTCTTCCATAAATGTGATGTAAAAGTTTTCAAAATGAAATTATCACTTTACGTACATATGTACATACAAATGTATAAATGCATTTGGTTTTCATTTAGGTTTTGGAGATATGGTAGCTTTACAAAAAGATAATGCACTCAACAACAAACCGCAATATGTAATGTTCGCATTGATATTCATATTGTTCGGTTTGGCAATTGTTGCCGCCTCGCTGAATCTGCTAGTATTGCGGTTTGTTACAATGAATACGGAGGATGAACGAAGAGATGAAGCCCAAGCTATGCAGGTGCAGAATCATTTTAATACTACTAATTTATATTCATTATTATATTCATTACTATATTATTAGTAAATATGATTTTTCGATAATACTTTTACAATTCTTTTATTACAACTTTAAACTCTTTTAATATTCGATTATTAATGTTGAATTCCTCTAGAAATAGATAAACCCTTAATTTTTTTTTTCCAAATTTGCATAAATTAAAAAAATGGCAGATCGGAATATTCTGCGAAGTGAGCGTGTCATAAAGTTTCGTTTATTGCCCCGCTATTTACTTGAATCTATCTCTTTGGAAGTGAATTCGTTCTTATGATCAAGAAAGCAGCATTAATTAAGATTCAAAAAGTTGAATTAATTTAAAGCCTTTTCTATGGTGTTTCCATTTTTTCCAATAGTTTTTCATAAATTCTTACAATAATATTTTGAATAACTTAATATTATAGGTATATACACAGTTTACGATTTGTTGATTTATAAAAGTGATTTTCCGGTTCGAGTAAATATTTATTTCAAAATGGTGGAAGCCTGATGGAAGATCCATAGTCTCATAACAAGTAAAATAGTTGTCATTGTCCCTTTTATTAGGCTTTGGGTTTTTATATGCTTATAATATTGTTTGACTTTAAAAAAAATTCAAATTTGCTAGTGCAACACAGAACTATTTTGCGGGTATTCGCACGTGGCTGGCAGAACCTTTACTATTACTTACATACTTGTATTACTATTATTTTTTTATTAGATTATATTTGTATTGTATAATTGTATGTTATTTAGATGGTAAATCTAACTTACATCCGAAAAAATACATTAATTTGGCATTACTACACAACTGATTGGAATATTAATTTCTCAAATACATATGTATATTCCATTGACTCCTGGGTAAAATAAGATATTAAAAGTAATTATACTTGTATAGCACTCTTGTCAAATGCCATATGATCCTCTTATTTAAGTGAGCTAATATTTTGGTTAACTAGGATGCAAAATTTCTATGAAAAAAAGTACTTAAAGGCTTATGCATGTAATTAAAATTAAATTGGGTCTTCATTTGCAATGCACGATTTACATAAATATTTTCCTATCCACTTACACTTACAAAGAAAATTTACGCTACACCAGAATTAAAAAGTTCACCTAAAATTTTGAAATATAAATTTTTCTGAGAAAATTAAGTAGTAGAATTTTCATAATAATGTATAAAGAGATTCTTCAAAAAATAAAAATGTGTTTTTCTTATAATTATAAATAATTTTTAATTTGTAAATTTCAATTGCCGCTTCATATTTTTTAAAAAACTATATCTATCATTAATACACTGGGTTGAATTATTACTACTTTTAAAATTTGGTACTTTCTTGCATGCCAATGCTTCAAATCGTTTTTACATGATCATATATAAAAATATTAAGCATTTTTATTAAAAGAATCGTTAAAATTTGCACATTTTAAATTTTGAAATAAAAAGTTTACAAACTTAATATTATAATAATAATATTCCTTGTCACAATTATAATATTTCTCCGTCTAATTTTTATTTATTATTTTTTAATTTCAATAAAAAAGATAATAAATGTAAAAAAATATGTTTTCTTTTAATTTTCTTTACAAAAATGTATATTGGACCACGAACAATACAATAGTTTATAACCAAGTCCAATATTTGGACAAAAGAGGTGATTGCGGTTTTTCAATTAAAAATTAAAACAAATGTTTAATAATAATGAATTATAAAAATACAATATTTTCTAATACTTACCTAAGCCCGAGACTCAAATTTCTATACCTGCCTAAACTACAAGTGCAAAACAATCCAAAGAAGAAATAACAAACTACTGTATATTATGTACTATATTATTGCCACAAAAACATATAAACTCCTTTCAAAAATACTACGAAAAACTATTTTATTAATTTAAGTTAAAAATATCAACACTTGTCAACATTGCACAAGGAATACAAAGCAACTAGAATTTTATAAATTCAGTCACAAATTCCGCCATGATTAGTTTAATTCTATATAAAATATGTATACGTTTAAGGTAGTTGTGAAAAATTGAAAACATACCTACATACATAAAATGCTTCTTAATTTATTTATCTTAACTAGTTAAAAAAGAAATCGTAAAAGTTTTCTTTTTAATTAATTAAACTTTGTATTCCCTGTATCAAAGACCCAAACACTCTACATTTCAGAAACACATTTTTTTATGATTTCTCCTAATATGATATACATACATATGTACATGTAACTGTGCATTTATAAATTTTAATTACTAATAAGGGCGGTTTCGTAAACAATTTTTAGGCTTTACAAGTTGCTGTTAAATTAGAAGGTGACGTCATTACAGCAAATGGGTCCATTTTAAGTGGATATGAAGGTCATGAAGTTCAGTCAAATAGTAGTGGCTCAACTACATCCATGTGTTCATGTAGCTGTGCACGTTTTAGTGCAAATCGTCATAAAACGTGAGTACATTCGAATTGCATTTTGTTTATTATTATTGCATTTTAATCTATATATATCCTATACAATTTCTATGTATGAAAGGCATCAATACAAAGCGCGTCGCTCACCCTCGCATATACGTCATTTATTGCCGGAAGTTGTACCAATGCAGGACTTAAGCTACGATGCACACAGCCTCAATGCCGACGGGCTCGATATTGTGGATACATCATCAGTCTCGCCTTCGAAACCACACAGACAATTACTCAAACGCAATGTATCGCTACTATCTTTTCGTATTTAAAATACACTTACTATTAATGAAAATAATTTAAGTATTATAGGTACATACATTTATTAATAGGTATGCTTAAATACAATAATTTTTGATTCACCGGTAATTTAAGCTTTTCACATCGCTTTATGGTGCGCCACATACAGGCGGTACCGTTGTGTATGTGGTATACTTGTTTCAATATTTATAAATAGTTGTTGGGTAGCTACGGCGCCATCAATCTAATGCAGATTATATTATGCAATTTTCTGCACTTCATTTGCGAATATGTATGTATGTAAATATTAAAGAAACATTTTGAAGAAAATACTTATAATTAGTTAGGTAGGTGTAAACCTTAGCGAAAGCCTATCAATCAATAGATTTCTTTAATATAGCAATTCATATAATAAGCACTTTTGCTTCTCTTAATAGCTTAAGGTATTCCGCGCTTTATTATTAAGTCCATTAAAGAAGTTTTAACTTTATACTTTAGACTTTTGTTATTAAAATCTTTGAAAATGAGTAGTTTTGCTGAGATATCTATGCATAAAATTGGTGAAGCTTTTCATTTTTATATTATTTACGATTGGAGGAGATGTAATTAAAACATTTCAATTTTTTCCACATAAGTATTTTTGACTTAATTTAAGACATCTTTAATTTATAAAAATATGAGAACACGATGCATAATACCCACAAGTATGTAGTTATTCAAAAGCGCTCATTTTTATCTATTTCTTTGCACACACGCTGCAATAGTTTCAATGAATCAATTAACGAATATACCCTTTTATAATAGAAGGAATAACACGACAACCTATAAATTCTCACATAAAGTGATGTTTGTAATAAATGAATGCGCAAAAGAACATTAAAATTTACATAAACCATACTAGGCCATAAGTGGCCTCCAAAATTGCTTAATATTAATATGGTCAGCCAGATAAAAATGTTGCTATAAAAAAGATTACAACGAGCATCGATCACTTATAAGATCAATATATCTAACACCTCTCTTAAAGTATGTAAATTTAAATAAGCGTAATAATAACACTAATTCCCACAACAGCCGGTTCTACTTTACCGGAACTGACCCGGACTTTTTTCGGCAAAAGGCTGCGATCTAACTCTGTTTAAATCGGTAAGTAGGAATAACTTTTGTAAGAAAATTACAGCTTCGCCAAACAAAAACAAAAGTTATATAAAAATCCAAAGGTTGAAAATACATTTTTTAATATGACTGTTTTTTGAATAAATACGAAAAAACTATTCAGTTAAGGGGTGTACAAAAAAACAAAAAAAAAAAAACAATTTTCTTTTCCTGATGCAATATAACAACTTTTTTATTAGTAAACTTCAAAATCGCTCTATTAAACGTTATTTTGTTAACTAGAAAATATGAAAACAGTTCTATCACTGCCAAATTCATCACCTGATACAAAAGTCAAACACATAGTAAGGGTACTCTATGTAGAGGAGTACAAATTTTAAACTGGCACATACAAACAATTAAAGCTTACGTATTCAAATATAATTAAGAAAATTATTAACTTACTTCATAAATACTTTAGTTATTTTTTAATTTTGTTTTACCTTTTTAATTATTTTTAATTATCTGCCTTAGAGGTTAGAAAGTTCAAATACCGTACATTGTTCAAAAGTTTGAACAGAATAGTCAAATTATTTAACTATTATAATGTTTATTATTTTATATTTTTTAATGTTATTTAAAAAATTTAATCAACTATTATAATGTTTATTATTTTATATTTTTTAATGTTATTTTAAAAGTTTAATAAACTCTGGATTTAATTTATATGTTCGCAAAACTCAGGCGAATACTTTTTATATAGATACAAATAATGGGAGTAAAGATCATTCATTCACACCTCCAAACTCATATCATTTAAAAAAACGTTACCTTCGAAATACCATACTACCTACATACATATACATAGATATTTATCTTACATAACTGTGCTTAACAAGTATATGTATCCATATCCATGTATATACATAGTATATATGTAGGTACGAACACAATATATGCATAAAACTAAACTACTCAAAATTTAATATCATCGACTCTTTTTCAAGACTCATCAGTTATCGAATTTATGGTATATAATAAATATTTAATAAACTACATTTATAAATATCTAATTGGGTATTAATAATCAGGCGCATTAAATTACGAGTGAAAATGAAATGGTAATGTGATCCAAATAAGTTTAAATATTCTACAGTTATTTCTTAGTAGCGCTTGGTAATTCCGGTCGACAAACATACATACTATGTATGAAAATATAAAAGATACACATTGAAACGTATTTATATATTCGTTTATGAAATGTATAATCAACTATTTATTTTAAGTATTATTAAGCACCTATAATTTTTTGTACTACAAATATGTATACTTAGCACATTGCCATTTCATTTGAAATAGCTGAATCGTTTTCTTATATGAAAAAAGTTTTATATTCAAAAATGCATTATTATAAACGAGGCCAAATTTTTGGTAGATATAAGCCACTCCCATTTTTACGATTTCTTTTAAAAATTTTGCCATTAGAAATTACTTATATTATAATAGTTTTTATACTTACATATGTATATTAAAATTAAAAAAAAAAATATTCTAAGTAGATATGTACGTGCCTATGAAAATAGGTGTTTGCAGTTGTTTACCATGTTAATGTATATTAAATGCATATAGCATTGAAGAGCAGTACTCGCAAATGAAGAGGCAATTTTTTCTCTTTTCTTATAAAAAATAAATAATAAAAATCCGTTGAAAGACTTTGTAATATAGAGAACACTGGAAAATACAAATAAATTTACATTTATGAAAAAATGGGTTCGTTTGTCTAGTTCATAATTTAAAGTTGTTAAAGAGAATGATTTTTATAAGAAAACCTCTTAACTGGGAGGAATACGGGCAAAACATTGGTAAGTTGCTTCCATTAGTTGTTTTGCACAAGCAGCAGGTATTCGGCTTTATCTTTAACTTGTTTATAAAAAATATATTGTTTTACGTTTTGAAATTTTTTTCTCTGTTAAAACATCGAATAACAGTGTGAAAGTCACGAATATTTCATCGAAAGTGACACATGTCAAATAATACAAATAATTAAACTACATATAGTACTTTTTATTTGATATTGCACAAGAGAGGCGCGCGCGGCAATTAACAGTCGCGACAGTCGGGTCTACGTAACCGCAACGGGTCCGGATTTTTATCCGACCAAGGACTGTCAACTCGGCAAAATTCTACCGTTACAACAACAACAACAACAACGCAATTTACACAATAAGTAGACCTAACGGTGATTTTCCAGTGAAGTAAGATAGTGATGATTATGAAATGTCTTGTATCGGTAAATAAGTGTACTAATAATTGATTTATTGAAATAAATTGATTGTGAAAACTTTTGAGCTGTGACTCTTTTGTAGTTAGTGTGAGAAATGTTTGAAGAAAAGCGAAGCAAAAGTTTTATCTGTATCAACCATAACATTCCGAAACAGTTGCGTTACCAACTTAACAAGCAACATTTGTTTGATACAAGAATGATTGATTCTATAATTTTTAGTTTTAAATACCAACTATTGCATAATTTATATTCTATACCATAGGAAATTCTTAAAAAAGATATTTAACTTCGAAAAATATCTACTAAAATTAGTTTTGTCTTACGCTCCAGTTACATGATCAAGCTTTCAAGTTGATCACACAAACTACTTATCAAAATTGGTTTGAATTGACATCTGTGACGTAGGCTGCAAGCAAGCTAATAATCAATAACAGCACAAAGATTATAGTATAACTTATATTTTGATATCAATCCATGAATATAACGAAAGGATTATATTCCCGATAGTTGCATGTCATTTGTTTGCACAACTAGGTGATGACCTGTTCTAACTTGATCGACAACTTGCAAGTCGACTTGAAAGAGAAAATTGATTTCAAGACGGATTTTCAGTTCGAAAAATGAGAGTGTGGTGGTAGAAAAGTGTGAGTGTGTTGCAACTTGAAAGCAATTTCTTGATCGTGTAACGTCCGGGTTATGGTGTTTAAAACAAAGACGTAGAAGTCGAAATGCAACCCTACGTCAATTAACCGCAGCTAACATTAGACCGTGCAGCAAAGATGCTCATTTGTGTCTTTGCTAACGCCGTTAAGCGTAGAGCGGCATAATTTCTGTCCAGGTGTTTTTGAAATTAAAATTTTGTTTGGGAGGTGAATATTTTTTATAACACTAAGTTTTTAAGTAGTGTAATATTTATTTTTTGTAGGAAGTTAAAAGCCAAAATTCCAGAACTTTAAATGAATGATTGATGACAAAAGCAGCCGCAGTGTGAATTGAGCCGCAGATTTAAGGACGAAAATTGCACGCATTTTATTAAAAATGGCGCCAACAAAGAATACCCGTGCAGTTTCTAAACAAGCTGTAACGTCAACTATGAGCACATTGTTACCTCAGCCACGAAAAACACTTACTAGGCGAGGCACAATTAATGTCCAGGACCAAAATGTTGATATAATCCAGACGCGCGGCAAACGTAAAGCCGAACATAGTCCGGCTAAAAATGAAAAAGTTAAGCGATCAGCGCTTGGTAATCTCACAAACAACTTTAAACTAACAACAATGACGACGAGTAAGTTGCATTCTGAAGAGAATTTGAAGCAAAACCAAAATATGACAAAGAGAAAAGAAACCCACATAATTGGGACACATGCTCAAGTGCTTAAAGAAACGCAAAATACTGTCGGAAGTATGGACGTGTGTGAACGTAATATTTTGCAAAAGAAAATGGCAACTAGGGCGAGTACGCGAAATGCTAACATTACCAAATCAACGATTGCTAAAATTTTGGAAGATAGTTATAAAAGGACTAAACCGAAGATTGAACCCTTACCATCACCGCCAACACTAAGAACGCGAAAGTTAGAGCTTCCGCCTGTATTGGCTCCACGACCACCCTCTCCAGTTTTAGCTACAGTACCATTAAAACCGTCTCTGCCCAACAAGCCAGTACGAAGAATTTCTAATGAATTCAATAAAACTGAAGAAAGCTTATACATGTCGGCACTGGAAGATATTTCCAGTTCCGAGTCAATGCGTTTATCTGGTAATTTCGAAGCTGCAAAGCGGCGTTCGGCTTTACTATTACAAGAGAAGAAGAAAGTTGAAGGTACACCAGATAAAGAAATCGGTGATAAACCGCCGCCTACATCGGTGCCGGAAGGCGTTGAAGATTTTGACAAGGCTAACTGGAATGATATCTTTCAAGTATCTCACTATGCCATGGATATATTTAATTATATGAAATCACGGGAGGAAGAGTTTCCTGTAACAGATTATATGGAAAAACAAATACATTTGACCAAATGGATGCGAACATTATTAGTTGACTGGATGGTCGAAGTGCAAGAGACATTCGAATTGAATCATGAAACACTCTATTTGGCGGTAAAAATTGTGGATCTCTTTTTATGTCGCGTCATTATCAATAAGGATGTACTGCAGTTGCTTGGTGCATCTGCACTTTTTATTGCATGCAAATTCGATGAACGAACACCGCCCTTAATTGAGGATTTTCTATATATATGTGATGGCGCGTATAAACATAATGAATTGATACGTATGGAAATGACGACACTTCGAACTATAAATTATGATCTTGGCGTACCGTTGTCATATCGATTTTTACGACGTTACGCCCGTTGTGCCAAAGTTTCAATGCCAACGCTAACATTAGCACGCTATATTTTAGAATTGTCACTAATGGATTATGCAACTATTCATTTTAGCGATTCCAAACTAGCATGTGCAGCTTTGTTCATGGCTTTGCGCTTAGATGGCGATACAAATCCCTGGACATTGACGTTGGAATACTATAGTGGATATTTGTTGACAGATTTCGCTGAAATTGTACCCGTTTTAAATGCTACATTGCATCGTAAACCTAAAGTAAAGACAATACGTAGTAAATACTCACATAAGATATTCCATGAGGTTGCCAAAGTCCCACTACTTACAACTGAAGAACTATTTGAGAACAATTTAGACCTGAATATTAGCATAAAACTTGATGAATCTAATAGCTCGTAAAATATATATTTAGCTAACTTAGTTGAATACTTATTCATTTCATTATTATAAGAAATCTACCCAAATCACGACATACTGAGCTTTTAACAAACGTCACCTGCATTAACATATATAAAAAATTAGCAACTTTAAATATAATGCTTTTAGATTTAAGCAACATCGATATTAAATTAGTATATATATTTTTGTTTTGTCTTTTAAGTTATTTTAATAATGAAACTGAACATTTGATAAACATATTGCATTTGCGGTTTGTAGTTTGTATTTCGTTATAATTTTATTATGCAATCAAAAAAAAAAAATTACTGCGCGTAATGCAATTTTTGCGCTGTTATAGTAAAAAAACGCATGCTCACTTTTTATTTTATTATTTAAACATATTTCAGAAATTACATTTCATGTCATTTAGTCGCACTGCTAGGCTTACAAGTGACCAATATGGTTTACTGCTACAAAAATGAGGACTCGCGGAATTCTACACCTGACTTAAGGGACATACGCAAAGGGACGACCTACGCATGTCCATTGCCATAGCAAAAGCAATTCAATTTTGTAAACTTACTCTATTACTACTATGAAAATTTTAATAAAGCATAAAGCAACTGAAAAAAGCCATTTTTGTCTCCAAATATCTCAATTTAATTGTTATAATATTTATATCTGTTTCATATGGTTTCCATAATGTTTTTTTTTATTCAACTCGCTTTAAACATATTCAAAATCAGTTTTAACAATTTATTTACGCTTACTACTTTTATAGTTGAGGCTTTGTGTTCGAAATTTTTTAAATAAAGATATACGTTGAAAAACAATTCGACTCATGTCTTGTAAATGTTATCTTAATATGCACTTTCTTTTTACGGAATAAATGGAACATATATTTCTATATTCTATCACATGTTTACAAATGCATGCATATAGTATGTATTTATTTATTTTTCATAAATGCAATGGTTGCCTCATCGTTCTTTGATTCATAAAAACTGTTACCTTTTATATGCGCTACAACAAAAAATTATTAAAGAAACAATCAATGCATTTAACGTCTTCCAGCAATTGTCTTTCAACAAATTTTTTCTACCTAAGGCAGCTGTGACTCTTCTTATTGGCTGTTTTAAGAAACCATTATATCTTATTCCTTGATTCGCAAGCTGCGCTTGCACGGACATTAGTTGCAGACATCCGAAGAAAGAAAAACTGTCAAAAATAGGTACATATAAATATACATACATACAATACATGAGTACACATTAGTTATTCTTTTGAATTTGGCTTATTAAGTACATACATACATATGTGCAGACGTTCAAGCTGCGCAGACGTTCAAGGATGCTGGAGCAGTTTTTCAAAAAGTATGTATCTAATTGCAAATTTATGTTATATGATGCTATTTTGGAACATTGGCAAAATGGGAAAGATTGCTCTGAATTAACGTGCAAACGTCGTAAACATGTATGGTATGTACATATGTATGTGTAAATCGATTAAGCGCCTATAGTAATATATAATAAGTATATATACCTACCTATGCAATTCATATTTTCTCTTCGCACTCTTATTGTAAACTGCAATTGATATTAATTTTTTTATGCAGATTTACGAATTTCAGTGCTTTCATTATTTATGTAAATATACGGCAAGGAATGTATGTACATATGTACGAGCATGTATAGTATACATTTTTTGATGTTGTTGTTGTTGTTGTAGCGACAGAATTCTGCCGAGTTGACAGTCCTAGGCCGGAATAAATCCGGGTCCGTTCCGGTTATGTAGACCCGACTGTCGTGGGAACGGCACATTTTTTCATAATAAGTAGTGATTGCGATTTTCCTTGAGGTTTAATTTAAAAAAAAAATTGTAACAAATATTTGTCAATTGAATAAATAATAAATTTTTCTGAAACTTATAAAAATTTTTTTTTCGAATTTCGAACTATGCTTAGAAATGTGTTCATACATATATATTTTATACTTAGAAGTTTACCCTGGAGAAAGCGTGACACGCAATTTTTATATATGCCTATAAATTTTAAGCGTTTGTCGTAGTTCATCCGTATTCACATCTATTAGCGCTCGGAACCGCGCCTATCTTTCAAAATCCACATAACCTTTAACTTTGTAGTCTTTGGTTGTTCCAGAGAGTAATTATAATACATTTGTAGCGTTATTATTTCTTTAGGTATACTATATTCCTATTTGACTCGATCATTATTTTATGTCAATACACAACAACTACAGTGAAATTATGTGCAGAGAGGTTAGGCAAATGCAAATTGAAATGGCTGAGGGGTTATCTCTAACTTACTTTCCAATTAATTTCATATTTATAGTAGTAGATAAGTCATAATGGCAAAACTCAGCGGAAAATGAGCATCCAAGAGTAGCTTTAACGACTCCTCGCTGCTCGTTGTCCAACCACTATCTGGATATCTCAGATACCCCAATGGAGTAGGATTTTTCGCTAGAATGTGCCTAAACCGTGAGGACTCATGACAACCCTCTACACTGCTGCAGAAGGCTCTCCACGAGGCTCTCTTGGATTTCTTTAATTCGGACTTGTAATTGGCCAGTCCGGCCCTGTTTAGCGCCTAGTCGTCACTATCTAAGCTTCCTGCAATACAGGAACCAATTGTAATTTCTGAAAATTTTATAGGTTTTGAGCTCCAGGTGCGTTCAAGCTGAAACCAATATATTTATGATCAGATAAGGAATTGTCGTCTAGAACTCTCCATCCCGAGATCAAGGCTAGCGTAATGTCAAGGACTTCCGCCCTGCTAGCTGTCACAAAAGTAGGGCAGTTACCCGTTTACAAATAGAAAGATCTACACCACATATAAAATAAACTAGTGACTCACCTCTTTCGTTAATGTCCGAGCTCCCCAGACGGTGTGCCTAGAATTGGCATCTGAGCCTATTAAAATTGCGACCATCATATTAACCGACCCCAGCCGATAGCAGATACTCGCTTTCACTACCTCCCGGAAAGATAGTCGCCTCATATGGTCCCAAGGTTGTTTTAGTTACGACGCTAAGGCGAGGATTGACGCACGCCCTTATAAGGCAATGCGTTCAGAGCCGACCAGCGCAAAGAAGGAGTCATCTCAACAAACACCTACCACATCAACTTAATGATAACAAGAGGAGAACGTACTCCGAGGCCTGCCAGGGTTTTAACGGGATGAAGGCGCCCCTGGCATTAGCCCATCAGTCATTTCTGCAGGGTATCACCCCTGAATACTCACCAGCCCAGGGTTCAACCGATCCATCTAGCAATCCGTAGGACTCCAAAAGACCGTAAAAGCTGCAGGTCATTTACGTTATCCAGGATGCACCGCGTGAAGGCTAAACTGCTCTATATCCCTGTCAGTTTTGTTACCTTGAAGTATTTGAAGTCAACGAATATTAATACATCGGCGTTCGTCAAGTCATCGACATGTCTGCGTAGAATAAATTGTGGTTCTACTGCACGGCGATGACGCCTTTGGTCTTCATCATTTGTTTTCGCATGTTCTGTAGATGGGTAAAGTTAAATTACATCGTGACAGCAGTACATTTGCTTACGCTCAATTTGCAAAAATATTGAATATTCAAATAACATTTTTCATTCCACTGTTGAAGGCGTTTCAACTCATCAATTATTTACGACTGAGATGCTATGCACCACATCTACGCTCCGTATCGAACTGTTCTACTGATATGGACTCGAATTGATTTTTTTATAATAATCTATCAGTCAATGTCCTTGTAGAAAAATTTATTATAAAAAAACAGACTTGAACGTTATCAGTAAATTGTCAGCTTATTTTTGGGTTTTCCCAGTATGTTCATATAGAAACGGTGGTTCAAAAACCAGTTTATTAGCAAAATAATGCTTGAAATTCTGACTTTTTTATAAGTTTAATCGAAGTAATTATGTTATGCTACGATTTGTACCTTCAACTAAGTGTGACACAGTTCTATAATACCGTCTCTAGACACCCTTAATTCCTTCCACTCTTACAAATAAAAGTTTAAGTGAGATTTAACGGTTAAAAACGGTATCACTTGGTGCGAAGAATTTCGTTTATAGCATACATATTTCAATTATCAAATGATAACTAGTGACGTCATCGACGGTACACAATTTTTCAGGTTTCAGATAACTATGGAAGTAAATATGATTTAGACCACCCTGTTTATGAATATGCGTATATGGGTTTATATAAAAGATCAGTGAAGCCAAATCGTTCAGTTTGGTTTTTAAGAGCAATGAGCGCGGTCTAAAACTTTCAAAGTTTCAATTCAAATAGTATAATTTTACCTACCACAAAATGAAGTTTATATTGGGATTTATTTTCGCTTGTACTGTATTGACAATGGTTTCGGCACGACCGACGTTTGATAAAATTGCTGACGCTTTATTGAATGTATTGGATCCATATACAAATTATCCATCAGGTAACCCCAACCATCAGGACGGTTATCATCTACATCACCATGATCACCATTATTACGGCGGTGGTGCTCAACCAAACGGTTATTATCAAAATCCCAATGTAGGTTACCCTTATGTCGAGCAAAATTATTATCCATCACAAGTACAATTCTCACAAGGACCATACACACAAGGATACCGGCCTCAACGTCCTCATTATGATCATGCAGGTTATCCAAATGCTGCTCCTGAAGTTTCGGTGGAAATTAATGGTGGCTATCGGCCAAAAGGATATCGCCATTATGGTTACAAATGAAAATGAAAAACTGTTGCCGTTACATTTTTATATGTGTGTGTATATATTAATTTATATTCGAGTTAATAATAATAAAATAATAATTATTGTAAAGGGTTTCGGGTTTATTTATCGCTATTTTTGGTGTTAGCCTTAATGTTGGTTGACGAGATATAAGCCACTACTTAACGGTTAGTCAATGTTCTCAATTTTCTTTTTTGCTTTTGTATGATTTTTGGTGAAAAGAGATCCGATTTCAACCAACGGTCCAGCGAATGGTGGTAACGAATTTAACTCTCTGGGATCTAAAGCTCTTGCCAAATACTCTAGATTAGTATAAATGTTATCGTAGTGCAACACAATAGTTGTTATATGGTTTTGAATGGACTAGTAACAAACTGTATTATACATATGAAATTAGAATTTTGGGCAAACTATTCCTATACTTGTATAGTACTGTATATACATACTTGTATGGGTCAACAATTTTTTGTAAAAAGTTTAGCAAGACATAGAAAAATGACTTTTCCTTGCCCCGCAATCAACTATGACTAAAATAAAGTAGACTTTAAATGAAAGTAAGCTTTAACATATCTAGAGCCGATTCTACTATGACTATGGGTTAGCTCGACGAGTTCATCTGCCACTTCACGATTAATATTGTAAATGTAAAGGCTACAAAATTTAATCATTCTGCTTTAATTATTGTGTATTGTATTTAAGTATAAAATTGTTTACAAATTTTTTATTATATAGTAAGCTTGAATACTTATAACTAACGTCTTATGTCTAGAATGTGCTCTGAGCTCGGAGTGCTCTGTGTGAGGTATATTGAATCTGGAAATATGACCGCTTTATTTTGAATAAGTCGACTTAATTCTGCGCTTATTTTTGTCACCTTCGAAATAGGATATGCCGTGTTTGGTGGTGTCGATGAAATTATCACAGGCTTTTGAACATTCACTAAATTAGACGAATTATTTGATGAAGTTCCAATTTGAGACTGCACAAGATTTGTTGCAGGAACTTGTGTTGGCTGCGACTGGCCTGAGAGAATTGGTATTTTTGTATTTTGCAGAAAAGGATTTAACATGTATGGGTTCTGAAGAGTGGGCTTCGAAACTATAGGATTTTGTAATGATTGATTATTTAAATAAGTTTGTGAATTTTCATTAGTTTGTCGATTTGCTAAAAATGGATTTTGCATAAACTCATTTTGGGACATATGTTTATTGAGAAATGGGTTGTCGGGAGTATTTCGTCTAAATTGACTTCTATTATATTCAGTCGATGGTGATGCCTTGATTGTGGTTGGTACTGGATTTGCAAATATTTCTGTTAATAAATAATTGTTAGGTTTAATATTATGTCGGTTAAGTAACAGATTTGGCGGCTGAGTAATATAAGCAGGAGTTATAGATTGGGTTGTTGGTGCATGCATTGCGTTCACTCTTACTGCTGGTTTAAGTATCGGTACTGTATTAGTGGGCTCGGCGTTCATTTTGACGTTGGTGTCCAAAATTGCACTATTACGAGTATTTTCATCATTATATTTAATATCTTGATAAGAGTTATGCTGGTTAAAATTGCCGTTATTGCGATTGTGCTTATGCATATTGCCAACTTGGCCACTATATTCTTGAAACATTTTATTTTTTTCATTCTTCATGTTATTGCCATTAAAACCATTGTTATTATGGTACATGATGTTGTCGCTATTGCAATGTACATTCATTTTCAGTTCACTTGAATTGTGAGTTTTCTGATTGCGTCGTGGCTTTTGCGAATTGTTAGCTTGGGGTTGTTGCTGATAATTTTGATTATTTGGATGGCCATCGAGTTGTTGCGATGATATGATTCTGTCAGTTGGGCTGCCTTGAAGTGTTTGATCACCGAATATTAATTCATCGGCGTTCGTGAGGTCATCGGCATATCTGCGCAGAATAAATTGTGGTTCTGCTGCACGGCGATAACGTCTATGGGCTCCATCAGTTCTTTTCGCTTGTTCTATAGATGATTTTATTATACTGTTACTGCAGTAAATTTGCGTAACCCCAATAAGCACAAAGACTAAATATTCAAATAACATTTTTTATAAATTGTTCATTTCACTATTGAAAGCGTTTAAGCTCATCGATTATTTACGACTGAGATGCTGTTCATGCATCTACGCTCCGTATTGAACTGTTCGACTGATATGGAATCGATTAATGCTAAGCATTGCGAATTATGACATATTTGATGCTTTTTGTTTACAAAATCAACAATTATATTCAGTTACCGGCCATAAGAGACATATCAGCCTGTCACTCAAAACCGGTTTGCAATATATTTTTATATACCTTCTAAGATAAGGCCAAAGCTTCAACTAACTATGTTATTTTATATATACAATATTTACGTAAAAATATTTAACAATGGCATGTTGCGAGCATCCGTTGTAAGGTTATAGTAATTGCTTGTGAGATGAAAGTGTTTTCAATAAAATAAAGTCAAAGGCTTAGTAAAATTTTCAGATGTTTCACAAACGGTTCTTCTTCGAAACATTTTCAAATATAGACGAAATTGCATATAAAAAAAATTCAATTCATTTAAAAATCAGAGATGAATGTGCAATGCTTAGAGCTGAGTATTTCTCAGAATCTATACACATACATATATTGATTAGATTGATTCTGAGAGCAATATTTCGTTGTATACTCTCACTGCATGTTGTAGAAGCGTGTAATTGTTTCGTTCATTTAACGGTTGGTTGATCATCTTAAAATAATCGATTGTTATATATAAGTATTTATATATCTACCAATATGAACACAATTGGTTTCGTGATTTCTGCTGGTCCTTCCGTTCATATACGCAATAACTTTAGTTAAATGTTGAGGATTCTTAATCATGACATAAACTGCTATAGGTATATGCGGGTCATAGCGAGTTTGACATCTCTCTCAACAGTTTAAAATAAAGTATTCTTACAAAAGTGTGAGAAGTTAGTCTATATTTTCCTTTAGTCCGCATCTTAGTGAGTTGTTATATTATAAGTCAGAAATATTAATAAAACTAGATGACGCATACCCCGAACACAACTTAACCAAAGGAAAACTCAATCAACAAATCAGTCTAATCTTCATGTAAAGAAATTATGTAAATAAATGTTTGTATTTCTCTTAAAAAAAAAAACAAGATCTTTAATCACTCGGCTGCTTTAACTTCGGCTGCACCAAAACTATAATACCGTTCTGAGGTGGCAACTACATGCTATAGTAGTCCGATCTGAAAAACATGTTAGGAAATTGTAGCGTTGCTTTAGACAATAATCATGCCAAGTTTCGTGCAGATATCTTTTCAAATAAATAAAGTTTCCAGAACCTGATTTTAATTGTTCAATTTGTAAGGCAGCTATATGTGTAGTGGTCCGACATCAGTGGTTTCTTTCATATTTCATATTCATAATATGTTGCAACCCATCGGAAACGAAAGATAAAATAATAAAATTCAAAAATGATCTACCCTGGTTTAGTTTTTGAAATGTTTTTAAACAATTTCGTTAAATCATACCCGTAAATGAATGCAAAATAAAGTATATATTCTTTCTTAAAAAATATTCCATGTATTCAAACACCTAAATTCGTATTATTTTATAGTCGATTAAATTTTAGATGATTAGGTTTTAGTGATGGCATAATACACCAGAAATGGCGATTTGCTGATCAGTAGCCGTTTAACTTGCGTTAAGTAAAATTTGAAGCACGGTACACTAACGGCAGCTATACTGGCGCTAGTTGCCATTTGTAATAGGGATGTAAGTATAGCGTGAATTTGAATGGAAGATTGCGGTTGGCTTAAATCTTTTCGGTACTTTTCTGAGTGTATTTCCTATATGAAAAAAAGTTGTTTTCAGAGGCTTCAATGATGTAGAAAAACTGTGAAATAGATTACTCACTTTAAGTACGCTTCACTGTACATGCATTACATAGGTACCTGTGCAATTCTAAACTTATCTTTATTGAATGAGATAATTTCTTGTTGACCATATAGGTATTCTTATTGCGCATGTGCGTATGCGCTTTTTTATTGCAAATATGTATGAATATATAATGTGGCCATATATACATATACATTATATTATACATAAATATGCACTTACAATACATATATGTATATCCTATTTAATAACTATATTTTAGATTTTAGTAGCAGGTGCATTGTTTATGAATAAGTTTACATTCTGGAATCAGCACAACCGGCAACCGGCATAAATGCATATACCATACATATACTCGTATATGCATATATAAACGTACCGCGTACCTAAGTTGCCTACCATGCCGCGAGTTGGCTGAACAATGAGTACGCTAATGTCAATAAACTCTTAGGAAACCCGCCAAGACATGCGAAAAATTCACAAATCATTGACACAAACATACATACAAACATCAGAATCAGCAGACGCTTTCTGCTTTTCGTTACCTTTGCCGTAATGCTCTGTTAAAGCGAAGATGTGAGAAAACTTTAGTTAAGTACATATAAAAATAAACACGCAAGCGCGCTCGAAAGTCTGACATCTGTTGGTGGCGCGCTCACGCTTCCGTTCGACTGAGTAAGTGCGCAAGCGCAACGACTTTTTTTTTTACACCTACGATTGTATGTATGTAGCTGTGTATACATTTGTGTTCAAAGAAGTTCAAAGTCATAAGTGAAGATAAGGTACTTTTATTTTCATTCTTTCGCTTAAAGAGTGATAAACGTGTACTCATACCATCGGCGTACAATTGCTACGAGCTCGTATGATGGCTCACGTGATTAGAATACATATAATGGATAGTGCCGATAGCCGGCATCCTGATGATAAATTCTGCGACTACAGTTGTAATTATGTTTGTGAAGTACAGAATTATTTCAATTGTGAGATCAAGAGACATGCAGCTAATGAGGCGCATCTAAAATGCTTGTAGTGGTGAGTACGCGTACTACGTCTGTGGTTTTTTTTACCTTTCGCACTTTGTTGATGGCTTCGCAAGCACATTGACTGGGCTGTGGTCAGGCAGCAGTTGGCCAAGTGCCATAAGCAAACATTTAAATAATACAAAAGAGGATTGTTAGCTGTCTACTAAGTGAAGTACATACATACATACATACATATATATATATATATATATATACATATATGCACCTATGTATGTGTGTCGGTTCATTCGCGTATGGAAATGTGAATTTTGAAAATTACACATAACTTACATGCCTAGGTGTGCGCCAATAGATTGTGTGGATCCCGAGACGAGAATAAGCAGCACTAACCAAATACGGCAAAAAATGTGCTTGTAGTGAATTTTTCTTAAAAATTTATTAACATTTTCTGAATGCCCACAAAACACGTTGAAAGTGAAGAGCAATAAGGAAAAATAATAATAAATAATTGCATTAACGGCTTGAACAATCAGATTTAAACCACATCAGTGATTAGTGCTGCACAGCGCTAATTCCTTAATACCCATATAAATAAGCTGCGACATTCTACGCTAGTTGATAGTCGAGAAGCTGCTGTGATCTTGAAAAGTACTACTGCCAGCCGGTTGATACACTTAAGCAATAATCAATAACTAAATAAAAACAAAGTAAATATGAAGCTGTTGTTGTTTACAGTGTTGTGTATACTTTTGGCGAATGTTGCGGAAATTTGTTCCGGTTTCTCATGGCCCCTCGCGAAGGCCATTAAGGGTTATCAGCAAGGGGTTAGCGGCTATTATGGCGCTGATTATGGTTACTACGGCGGCGCTTACAGTGCGCATGGCTACGATCAGTATGGACGGGATAGGCGTGGCAACAATCGTCGCACCGGACGCACCTTTAGCGATATAGCGCGCGTAGTCAATCCGCAACCATATGCATTTGTGGGCGCGAGGCCGTATCCAGGACAACCGTTCAACCCGATCGGATGAGCGTGCAGTATAATAGATAGAAAAACGAAATAGATTGTGTCTTGTGATATAGAAATTCTGTATTAAGAAAAAAAACCTGCATTCTGTTTGATAATAAATATATTTATTTATATATATTCTATAATTTTGATGTGATTTATTGAATGAGGTTATCTGTGGCTTATGTTTATTGTGTTAATATACAAGTATGACCCACATATACATTTGTCCTATTTACTTTGAAATTTTTATAACCGGAAATAATCATATTTATAGACAACATTCGTACCTATATTTAGATGAGTATAAATATATGTATTATGTATGCGAAATCTAGCCTAATTGCCTAAAAAATCACAACATAATTAGAAAACAATAAAAACGGCTTCATGGAAAACCAAGCGTTTTTGAAAAATACTAAAAATATTTGTGAAACTTTCGAATGTATTTCTGGTATGAAAAAAATGAGAGTGTAATAAAATTTGATGCGAAAATATAATCGAGAAAAAAGTTTCCTAGTTGGGTAGTTTGATAACTCTATGTCAATTTGTGTAGTGTTTATTTGGCAGTTGTTTGTGTCCGACGCGGAAAGTGTTTTAACCATAAAAAATATACAACGGGTTTGCTTGAAATTTTGTGTTTCCAATGGACTAACGGCAACGGAATCGTTGAAATATTGCAGAAGGGTTTTGGGGAGTATACTTTATTACTAACACAAGCATTTGGGTGCCACAAAGCATTCAGTGAAGGTTGTGAAATCATCGAAAACTTTCCTCATGCCAGCGTCCTTCCATCGCTGTTAATGACGATAACTTCGAATAATTTAAATAGTGTTTGAAAATCGTCGTCTTGACATCAGATAGTTAGCAGATGACCTCAACATCGCTTATGGATCGACTCAAGATATTTTGCTTAATGTTTTGGGTATAAAGCGTGTCATTGCTAAGCTCGTGGCAAAATACCTAAATCTGTTGCAAAATTGACATTAAGTAGAGACCGCAAAAGAGATGCTTGACAACGTAACTGAGAACCATACATTCATTAAACCAATCATTGCTAGTGACGAAACGTGGGCTTATGAGTATGACACCGAACCGACACCGAAAAACCCAAAATTCGTTGTAGGCATTAAAGGACGACCCTGCCGAGGCTTATTACGTTTGGTGGAAAATTAGATTAAGCGTTCACATGCTTGTATTAGCTCAGGAGCCTACTTTAAAGGCGATATTAAATATTTGTATTAACATATGTGTCAATTTTTTATTTCAGTCCGGGTCAAATTACGTATGTAAGTATGCATTCAATTCACGTGTTCTCGTGATACGAACTTTTCAACCTGCCTGGTATGTGTCTTATTGGGTTGCTCCGGCATAATATATCTGAAACCATATATTTGTCATTTAAGTACTTGGAATGGGAAAATTTTACCAAAGTTCATCTGCGTTTAAAGTGTATTACTCATAGCAAAAGGCAAAAAAAAAAAAAAATAATAATAATAAAAATAAAGTGTTACACTTATAAGTCGTCGTTATACTTACGTACGGCATTTTATATCTACACGTAAGTAATTAAAGAATTACGATTCTGGTTAAATTCAGCAAATTTGTTACAAAAAAGCGAAAACGTGTGTTCTTATACACAAACCGGTGGTGTGTACTGTTTTTTGTATTTTTAAAACAACACATATAACAGAATATTTAATTAATATAAAATATAATTGCAATAAAATTTGTAGAAAATAAAACCAAAAAAAAAAAATATTTAAAATCACTAAAAAACTTCATTCGCTTCTGATTGCAAATACACTGTGCTGCGTGCTAGAACTATATATATACAATATATTCGGTATATTCGAGCGATTATTACATAAAAGAGTCTTCCCGAATCAGCCGTTCCAACCACAGGGACCGTAAAGATAATTTATATACATACCTATACACAAAAACTTGTCGTTTTAAGAAACTTAATAAATATTTGAACAAAAATTAAAAACAAATAATAATTATTACAACAAAAAAAAGTACAATAAATTATAAAAAATAACTACTGAAATACAACAATACATACATGATCAACTGTATGTTTTTTTTTTGGGGGCCCGTTTAGCATTTGCCCATTTATTGGCTTCGCGCATGCGCAACTATACCAAACGAAACGTGTGATGCATATTACGAAATGATGCGGCCCACTTGCTGTGCTAATCCAAAAACCAAAAAAGATAAACAATTTAAATCAACTAAATGATTACGAATTGACGGCGCAGAACACAACTGGACAAAAATACAATTTTGTATGTGTATTCACCAATTTCGTCATTTATGTAGCTTTGTTAGTAGTGACTTGTAAAATATGTTAAATGCTAGGAAAATTTAACGGTTTTTTGCATAAATGGTCAACGTCTAAATATTTAGTTCCGCAAATATTCAGGTGAAATGCGTTTGACGTTGTTGTAATTACAGACATATGCCATGTGTGGTTCTTGAGCTGAAAAATCAAACAATGTCAAACAATGAAATAATTGAGTTATGCACAACGCGTGTAGTTTTATACAAAAGCGATTTAATATCTAATCGATCTCTTTTTATTATTTTAGTATTAGTTCTTTCTATTAGATAATTTTGAAACTACTAGTAGTAATTTTAGGTAACTATAGTTTTAATTCACAACATTTTAATTTTAGACCATATTATTTCCAATAGGAAGGCCGGTGATACAAATTTAGTACAAATAAAAAAAGTTTGAGAAAAAATATATTTGGCACGGAAGAAGAAGAATATATTAGAGCTCTTGATATTCGACTAATCGGATTAAGCGGATAGGGCATTATTCGAATAATAATATTCGGCTTGTACTAACCGAAGAGTCGTAGGTGTCGATTATTCGATTAACCGCTCATTTTTGACTTTTCGGTTAACCGTTCGTTATGGACTATGCGAATAGTAAGCGTTCATTCATTTTCTTATTTTTATTGAAAAAAGTGAAACATTCAATAATAAAATTTTGTGCACAAATCAAATGTTGGTGGGTTTCAAACAATTTTCATTTATTCAAATACTCGCTAAAGAGCAACTATTCGAACAGTCGCAGTATTATTCGGTTAAGTTTCAACGGTTACAAACCGGATATTCGAATAATCGGTTTTCAGGTTATTCGAATAATTGTAATAGCCCTAGTACCGGTGTATACATATTTCCCCAACAAATAAAATAATATTCTACTTTCATAATGTAATATGAAACTGGAACGGTTCCGCATTTTTATCCGGCCTGACTTTATTTGGCCGGCTCGGCTGCATTCCGCCAAATTATATTTGGGAAATGATTTCTGTCGTCTAAAATGGTCATCGGACAAGAGTTCTGTTGCAACAAATAATTTGTGCTTTATTACTCTTTATTTAAATCTTCTTTCAGCCAACATCCCACAAATTTTTCCTCCAATTACACATTTGTATGTTCAATGGGGCATGAACATGGCTCTCATGGCATGAGATCTGACAGTTAACTTCTTGTACGTGTTTAAAATAATTTAAAGCTCAAGTGTTGAACGTGACAAGTTGAAATGGCGAGTTGTACGAACGTAAACGGAGGAACGTTATTTTCCGTCACACGATCAGTTGATCGCAGCGGAGGCGTACTTACTCCAACCAATACATTTACGTGTGTGCAATACTTATGCTTAATATTTATAGAATGGTAAATGGTAAAAAATAATAACAAATTAATTGGTGCAAGTTTAAGGTCAACCAAAGTGGTGAATAAATAAAAAAAAAAAACAAGAAAAAAAAACTTTAACTCCAACTGCATTTAAGCTATAATACCCTTCACAAAATAAGTTTCCATGCAAGAACTTTATTTTGATTGTTCAGTTTGTATGTCAGCTATGTGCTATAATGGAATACGTCCTTTTCTCTCCAAGAAGTTTTTCGCTACAATCTCCGAACATATTATTCAGATCGAACCACTATAGCATATAGCTGCCATTCAACTTAAGACTTTTATTTATTTTTGTTGTAAAAATAACTTTTTATTATGACTTTAAGCAGTACTTTGATTAAAACTATATTGTACCAATTAAAATGAAGAATATGATGTATAAAAATACGTATGTATGCATATATGTAAATATGTGTGTTTACTTAAATCACGAAATATTAATAACTAAATATTTCTGAAAGGATTTAGGTAAACCTAGAGTCAAAATCCCATAGTTCAGGAACAGTTGGAATAAAAACACTGTTATAAAATATACCGATGAGACGAAAAACTATTTGCGGTACATCTCGTAAGGCAGGAGTACTCTCTTCTTTGATAATGCCGATTGCCGTTATAATTTGCTGTTTTATATCCGCGAATTTCTTATTAGCCAATAGCACCGTTAATTCATGTAACGAGAGTTCGAATTCGGCACTTGGATATGGACCAGTGGATCTAAAAGAATAGCTAGTTATAAGAGTTGGGATTTTTACAGCAGATAGTTCGGCACTTTACCTTGTATGTGCAAATAAGGAATACAGAACGCAGGCTAAGCAACGGGCGAGTGCTTTGCGCCTTAAAAAATAATATTCTACGTTAAATGGTTTATAAAGAAATTAGAAAATTATGCATACTTATTCGTCACAACGTCAGTCTTCAAACCAATAGCGCCCAGCAGCGTGTCACCCCACCCCTCGGATTGTGTAGACGTCAGGCACATGTAGGAGGCGAACATAAACAATACTTTCTTTACATTTTGCGTCTCACAAAGTATCTGGCAACCACGCGAAATGATTGCACACCAAACCAGCGCTAAACGTGGCTCTGTGTATGGACTGGAGAGTGAAAAACGCAATGATAGAGTTTCCAAAAGTATTTGTAAGTAGTTCTTTCGAACTTACTTCGTTTTACAGCCCTCCACCAACTGGCACACATCCTGCAGAAAAGTAATTTTATCACCGATATTTGTAATCTGTTCCATTTTATGAATGAAGAACATGTGGAGCGTTAATAAGAATGGACCACGCAAGATAGGCATCAAGTCCATTTTACTGCAAGATGTTTCCAATATCTGGCACAGCGCTTTCCACGTGGGTTTGTGCCAATCTTGTGACTCCGTTGATGTGCGGAAGTAATGCGCAATGGTGGATTCCAAAAGTGGATAAGTGCCGGT